CAAGTTTCATCCATTTTCCTGCAAATTATATAATTTTGTTCTTTTTATGGCTTAATAAAACTCTATTGTATATATTCACCACATTTTCTTCATGCATTCATCTGTTGATGGGTATCTAGGCTGATTTCATAACATAGTTACTATGAATTGTGCTGCAAAAAAGCATGGATATGCATGTATCTCTGGAGTACGCTGACTTTAATTCTTTTGGATGAATACCAAGGAAAGGTATAGTTGGATCTTTTTGTAGTTCTATTTTTAGCTTTTTGGGGAACCTCCATTCTGATTTCCATACTAGCTCTACTAATTTACATCCCAGCAGTGTGGAATTCCAACAGTTCTTTTACCCTAAAACCTTGCCAGCATTTATTATCTGCATTTTTGATGATTTCCATTCTACCTAGAGTGAGATGGAACCTCAGTGTAGTTTTGAATCACATTTTCCTGATGGCTGAAGATGTTGACCATTTTCACTTCTTCTTTTGAGAAGTGGTCTGTTCATTTCATTTGCTCATTTATTGATTGAGTGATCTGGTGGAAAGTTTTTTGTATATTCTGGATATTAATCTTCTGTCAGGAGAGTAACTATCTCTTCACTCATTTCCTTTACTGTTCAGAAACTTTTAAATTTAATACTATCTTATTTATTGATTCTTTTTCTTTATTTTCTGAGTTATAGGGATCCTATTCAGAAAGTCTTTTCCTGCCCCTGTGTGTTGAAGAGTTTCCTACTTTTTCTTCTAACATTTGTGAAGTTTTTGGTCTTATACTGAGGTCTTTCACCCATTTTGAGTTGACTTTTACACATGGTGAGAGATAAGGATATAGTTTCATTCTTCTGCATATGGATATCCAGTTTTCCCAGCACCATTTGCTGAAGAAGCTGTCTTTTTTCCTATGTATGTTATTGGCACCTTTGTCAAGAATCAACATAGCTTTGTGGGTTTGTCTCTGTGTCTTCTATTCTTTTCTGTTGGTCTATGTGTTTGTTTTTATACCATGCTTAAAGAAAAGGTTTTAACTGTACACAATCCTCCTCCTCTCCTCTCTCTCTCTCTCTCTTTATTTTATGGCTTGTGATTTTAAATTTTTGCTTTTTCATAAAATATTTCCCCCATCTCTATTAACTTTGTTGATTTAAAATTCACATTTAGCCATTAGGTTTGTCAGGAGTACATCTTTGCATATGGCACAAGATGGATAAGGATCTGGCTTCAACTTTTTCATATGATGAGTCGGATATCCCAGTAAAATCTAGTTAACAGTTCATCTTTTCTCCATTTATTTTTATGTTGTAACCATCATCAAATAGAATATTTCCATTAGTCTATTTCTGAGATTTCTGATCTAGACCAGCCAATAGTTTGTTTTGCCCTCATACCATGTTGTTTCTACTCCTGAGTTCATTTCATTTTTGCTGCCATCTGTCAGCTACCAGTAAGCCCTACGTATCTCTCTTGGAACCCTTTGTCCCTGTTCCAAAGTGCTCTAGAAAGAAAAACTTACAAAAATTTTTGTAACTTCTTCTCAAATTTCAAAACTGTTCTTCTTAATCTCATAAGAACTGTCATTTTTTACTGCAGTCTCTCTGGCTTCCTCTTGCCACCTACTACTCTTATATGCTTTATTCTGAAAATTCAATAACCACACTCATTAAAATGTTGCCGAAGCAGAGTAAACAACAAGAAAAGGGCAAGAGATTTAGCTCATATTCTTTGGGACATCTACTTAAGACACCCAAGTCTTTTTCCTTATCCTCAGGTATCACCCTGCAACATAGCATTTTGGTCAAGGGTTTCATCCTCTGTGCTAGAGAGGTTTGGAAGCTTTAGAATTCATTTCTGAAATTGATACTGGTCTGGGAAATCAGGATTGGTTCCTCGTTCCCTAAACACCCAAGAAACACCTAGGCAAACCTAGAAAGCAAGTTTCCTTTAAGAGAGAGACAGAGTTATACTTCTCCAGAGAAATGGGGATCCAGAGCTGGGTATCCTCAGGAGTGGGGTGTCTTGCCTTTTTATAAATCCCGGTTTTCTCTCCCTCTCCACCTACTTACATGCCTAAGGGCAGGAAAAGAGAAGGGTGATCATTAGCAATTCCTTGTGTTGGGAGGAGCGTTCCCTGGGTTGCCTGAAGGTGTTAGCAACCCATTTCCTTTTCTTTGATAATTTACCAATTAGCTCTCATATTTCTGACCCCGACTGATTATTTACTTTCTATGCTGACCATCTGTCCTTCGGAAACACTGGAGATGTTGAGCATGAAAATTTTTGAGTAGTTTTACTGCCTCTGCAAACTTAAAAAATAGAGATTCCCAAATTTTCTTTTATTTTTACCAAGCAATTTTTTAGACTACCTTTCTGCCCCATGCATCATTAAATCATTCTTTCATTTATTTGTTCACCAAACATTTATTAAGGACTTACAATAGTTTTAATTAATTAATGTGTTTGTTTTTTGGTACCGGGGGCTTGAACCCAGGGGCACTTAACCACTGAGCCACATTGCCACCCCCCCCCCTTTTTTTTTTAAGATAGGGTCTCACTGAGTTGCTTTGGGTCTTGCTAAGTTGCTGAGGCTGACTTTAACTTGCCATCTCCTGCCTCAATCTCCTGAGCCACCGTGCCTGGCACAATATTTCTGATTCTATACCAAGTGCTAGACATGTGTAATAGTGATCCAGTGGAGCTCGAATTTCATGGAGATTTTGATATCTTAGCTGGCTTAGAAGGTACTGGTAATTACACAGATCATTTTGGGGAGGGGGCTACTGGGAATTAACCCAGGGGTGCTTTACCATTGAGCTATACCCCTAGCCCTTTTATTTTTTCATTTTAAGGCAGTGTCTTACTAAGTTGCTTAGGGCTTTAGCTGAGGCTGATCTTGAACTTGTGATCCTCCTGCCTTAGTCTCTGGAGTCATTAGGATTATAGGTGTGTACCATCACCCTGACTTTACATAGATAATTTTTAAAACCAGTGACATTAACATGATCTAGTGCATGACTAAGCAAATTCAAATGGGTTCTTGAATTTTAGTCTCCTTCAGAATATGAACTGTAACAGCTCTATCTCCCAGGATCCTCACCCATATCTGAGAACCAGTAAGCTGAAAATACCCATGTTAGCCATCTAACCATTAAACATTTAATTGTTAAGCATTTAGTCATTAAAACATTTCAGTTGTATTGAACTGCCTAAGAAATATTCTAATAGTTCTCATGTATAAGCCTGCATTTACATTTATAAATATTTTTAAGGTTGTACTTTTATAATAAAATCAAACTGAAAATGGAGTTGTCACAATGGAAAAGTGGGTTTTGTTATTTTATTATACTTGGGTCTAGTTATTATATTGGGGGCAGGGGGATATGAAGAGTTTTGAGAGTAATCCCAAATAATTAAGAAAAGGCAAACCAGATAAGGCAAGCTTATACTTAGCATAGGTGTTTGTGTGTCATTGAGGTGAGTAAAGGATAGAGGAGGGATATAGAGGGTAGATTTAAGGATCTCAGTTTCAGAACTGTAATGTCTAACACTTACTTGAGGTTTTATAGTTTTCAGAGTCCCATTCATGTCTGTTTCAGTCATCTTTTTCACTGCTGTAACAAAAAACACCTGACAAGAACAATTTTAGAGGAGGAAAATTTTATTTGGGACCTCAAGGTTTCAGGGGTCTCAGTCCATAGTCAGCACACTCCATTTCTTGGGGCTCAAGGTGAGGAAGAACATCATGGGGCTGTGGTAGAGGGAAGTGGCTCACATGATGGTCAGAAAGGAGAGAGACTCCACTCACCAGATCCAAAATATATACCCCTAAATGCACGCCCCCAATGCCCACCTCCTCTAGCCATACCCTATGTGCCTTCAGTTACCACTCACTTAATCCCCATCAGGGGATTAATTCACTATTTGGGTTAAGGCTTTCATAACCCAATCATTTCTCCTCTAAACCTTCTTGCATTGTCTCACACATAAGGTTTAGAGGGATACCTCACATCCAAACCATTACAGTATCTTTTATTGAATCATATAGACCACAGTTATCAAGTGAGGTTACATCAAACTTATCCTAAGGAAGTAGGGCCTTATAGAAAGAGTTTATTTCCTAACAATGGAGACTGTCATATACTGGATCATTTTTCTTTGATGATGTCACTGATTCAGTTCTGTAAGAATCCTTAATAACTGTATAAACTCCACCAGTAAAGATGGACCTCATTTGTCAACCTCATGTCCAAATAAGAAATAGTATTTTATATTGGTGTGTGTATGTATGTAAAGGCCTTTCTCTCCTGCACAGATGGTATAAAATGCAGCCATTAGAGTCAAATAGCCCTGTGTGGAATCCTAACTCCATATCTTGATAGCTGTATGTCCATGAACAACTTGACAGCTCTGATTTTCTTCATCATATATGCAGCAAAGAAAGGGTTAAGCACAAAATGAAGTATCCAGTTTGTTTAATTAGTATTTGTCCTTCTTCCCTCATACTATATTTCTCTAAGACCAACATTCTTTCCTCATATTCTAAAATTGAAACTTCTAAGCAAGAAAGAATATGAAATCAAGGATGAAATGAAGCTCAATTTGATACTCACCTTTTCCTAAGCCCCTAATTTTGGTAATATGCATTAGTCTTTAAAACTAGTTAAATAAGCCAATCTCATTGTTCATGCTTTTTTTAGGTGATTGGATGATATCAAGAGAAATGTCTGATTAATCTCTGATTTATAATTGGGCTTCAATTTATATCTCCTCCATGTAATCAACTTTTTTTTGAAAAAAATAACAGGACAGGATTATACAATATGAGAAGATAATAATAATAATAATAATAATAATAATAATTTTCTGTCACTTCCATATGCAAGAAAAGATTCAGGAAAAACACAACCCTTATTTTCTTCCTTCAAACTCTTTCTGATGTTTTAATAAACAGTTATCTTGTTTCCTTAGAAAGGCATGATTAACATGGGTCAATATGTATCTCTTTAATAGGGACAAGTGATCCATACGTGAAGTTTAAAATTGGAAGAAAAGAAGTTTTTAGAAGTAAAATAATACACAAGAACCTCAATCCTGTGTGGGAGGAAAAGGCTTGCATTCTTATTGATCATCTTAGGGAGCCATTGTATATAAAGGTAAGCCATTTGTTTTTCCCTAACAGAATCTGACACAAAATCCTGTTGAATGGTTTTTTAGCATCTCTCTCTCTCTCTCTCTCTCTCTCTCTCTCTCTCTCTGATGAGATTTTCCACACAGGATGTACTCTGCTGTTCACAAGTCTAATCTGTTGATAATGTGATGAAATGAGATAGAAGGTAGAGGAAGCTGGCAAAGGCATTTTTCTTCAGGACAGTTGTATTGCAGTTATTTGGGAGGATCAGGAAGTATGTCTCCTCCTGCTTTGCGTTGCCTCCTTATTCAGTGCACTCTGGGAGCATCTGAAAACAAGTCTCCATGTAACCTAGTGAGATGAAGAGCTTTCGCAGAACCTAGGCTTTCTGTTTAAGAACTGTGCTATTTAAGCTTTTCCTATAAAAGCTGCCAGTTGAAAGGTGTGTGGCCTCCTCTTCTCACCTGAATGTGTACTTGTCCACTGATATGAAAACTCACCAAAAAGACAAAGACATGTGACAACATGTCATGTTTTCTGCCTTTTTCAAGACTCCCCTTCAACCAGATGTGAATATTTTTTCCACTAATTTGCATAAAAATGACAGTCCTGTGCTGTCAGTGAATTAGCAGACCATCAGATCAGTGCTGAGTCCAGAAGTACTGGCAGAGCTGTACTTCAGATCCCCAGAGTTTGAGGTGGTATGGTTCACAGTTCCAGCTAGGACAACTTTTGGAAATATGTGTTGAGGAGGTCACATGATTGCTCTAACCAAAACCTCGTGCTGCTGTCACCTGTCAATCCCAAAGCCATATCCCATCTGCTCTGGCCTGGCTACTTCAGCTTTACCAGCATGTTCATGTCCAATGATTATCATAATGAGCAATTCCTGGGCTTCCTTTGGCGAGCAAAGATAACACTGAAGATTACAAAAAATTTAAGGTGGTTGCTTGGTTCTTAGGAAATTCAAATCATGGAATGATATCCAAAAGATCTGTGCTTCTCAGCAAATAAGAGTTGTCAAGGGTAAAATGAGAAACCATTGTTATATCCAGCTCAGGGACCATGCATCACCTCTAATGAGGATTCTGGTACAACAAGGCCTTCAGAATCATTCCTGTAATTACCCTGCTTAATGTAAGTAAACATTTAGAGCTTGTTCCTGGTGGCCATGTGGAACTGTTTCTGCCTTGGAATGAAAGTGCTTTCCAGAAGCTAAATGATTGTATGGCATTTGGTGCTAAACTGCTTCCCTCAAGAGTAGCTACAGCCTTCCCATGCACAAAACGATCAATACATGCCTTAGCAGAATCTTGAAAAGCCCTGAAATATAGAGAGCTTTCTGAGCACCACAGAAGATGATTCATCACAGAGTCAAGAAGAAAAAATCCACTTAAAAACCTGAGAATCATGTTGCAATCAATATGTAAAGACCATGTGCCAGAACACCAGACCAGGAATCACAAACTCCAGATGGATACGATAGCCTCAGTACCAGAGGCAAATAAAATGAGAAGGGGGTTGCAGGCAGGAAGCAGGGTAGGGAAGAAAGGAAAGAAGATGGTTGGAGTTAGGTGGTTGATGAAGACTTTGGTGGGTAAAAAAGCTGCAGCCTTCAAGAAATCAACAGTTGAAAAAATGTAGCAAGAAACCTACCATAGAAGGAAAGGAGCTTAATGTATAAACTCTCAATTGGGTTTGCTCCCTAAAGGTCAAGTCATTTTGGACAGCTTATTTTGAATAAAGACTTGGCTAAAGGCAGTGAGAAAAAAATAAATTGTTAGTTAAGATCCACAATTCCTGGTTGCAAGCAAAATTCTTTACTTGGGAAATGAAAAGGGTAAAGATAATGGAGGAGAAAAATTCATTCTCTATTATATTACCAAAAATGAGTGGCGGGGGGAAGGCTTTTCTCTTATTTGATGTAATTAAAAGAAAGATGAAGAGCTTAAGGAAGTTCTTAGGAAATTACAACCCAATTCCTTGTTAAAACTATGGTTTTAAATAGGTCTCCTAATTTCATACCTCACTTCTCTTTATTTCATGTCTCTAGACCCATACAATTTTTTGTGCTCCTGTGTTTTGTCTATCCATTCAGTGTCCATGCTTTTCTCTGTTTTACCACACCAAACACACCCACTCTTCTCTAGATTTTCTCTACTGGCATATAAGCTCAAAATCTCAGAGTCACTCCTTCAACAATCACTGGACATCCCCCTTCCCCCAAATCTTCATTGTATTGCCTCCAGTTGTTTCCTTCTCCCACAGAAAGGAAAAAGAAACTATCAAGATGTTATTAAAATACTAGTAAAAACAGTTTATAAAATGGATGAAGAGAATCTCCTAAGTGTAAAGTTGATAAGTTACTAGATATCGTATATGGAGAATGAACCTCTATTGCATAAGAAATTGTCTCAAGTGAACACTGACTAAAGGAAATCAATTAAATAGAATTAATGAACCATCTCTTAATGTATAATGTGGGATGCTGCAATAATTATTAATGTGGGAATGTTCACAACCAACCCTCCTGCCCACAAAGGGAAGCTTGATCGGAGATGTTTCTACCCTCCTCCTCATGTCTAAAGAGAAAGAAATATCACTTTCATTATAAAGCAGTGACACAGAGGATGAAGAGGAATTTTTGAAGCCAAGAAGGCTATAGAAGAAATTTTATTCCTGAGGGGGTGGTCAGAAGAGATGAGTGAGAGCAGCTGTAGTCATGAAGGAAATGGTGGAGAGGAAAGCATGTGTTAATATGGTAGCAACAGGCTGTTGGATTGCATTAATATTGCTAAAGAGAGAAATCATGACAGGGAAGACATTTGTTTTCAATACTTCTGTGATGGATCTATCTTCCTTTAATGGAATATTAGTCCATTAAAAAACAAAACAAGTGGCTGGGGCAGGGGCTCAGTGGTAACACACTTGCCTGGTATGTGTGAGGCGCTGGGTTCGATTCTCAGCACCATGTATAAATAAATAAAAATAGGTCTATCAACAACTAAAAGTATTTTAAAAAACAAACAAACAAAACAATCTGTGGCTCTCCAGTCTACACGAGGCTACACATGAATTTCCCAAAATTACATTAGATATTGGCTGGGTCCTTTTGCTATTTATTCTCTTGTGCTCAAGAATGAATATTCACCTATGTAGAAATTCAATTGTCAAATGCATATTTTAAGAGGAACATTTAACTAGGCTTGAAACAGACAGACAAGAATCTGAAGCACACAGAAAAGAATGTTAGGAAAATATGTTGTTTTCAGAGAGCAGTAACACACATGTGTGTGCATTCACACACATACACACACACACACACACACAAACACAGAGTAGATGGAGACAGTGACAATGCATGCAGGCTGATAGATAGTCGTGGTTAATGACACACACACTATAAGAAGGTGAGAATAAGAATCCACGGGTTGTTTTACAGCTTTGTTCTTTAACCACTTTTGAGTGTTCATTATACAAGATTATTATCCACAATTTAACTTCTACCATACAGAAGTAGGTACATAGTAATTTATAAAAGATTTGTCAATTTTGTTACATTTCTGTGTAAGAAAAAAATGATTAATTTAGAAAGAAATTTCACTGGCCTCTCAAATATTAATACAAGCATAAAAGCGCAGTTTTGTGATACTCTGCACTTTTTAAAATGCTATCACATTTTTCTGTTGGTTTTCACTTTCTGTAAAATGCATAGGGCTTCTTTAGAGGAAACTCTCTTAGCTTTAATTTTTCCTTTTTTGTGTTAGCCACTTTTTGCCTAACCTCAGGCATTCAAGGACCTAAATGAAATACATGGGTGAAAGTGATAGTTTCAGACACTATAATTTCATTAACATTACATCATTTTCATTATCTCTGCACAACCCTGTGTGATTGATTTCCTTGATTCTAATATGAAGTCTACTTTTTCTCTGATGAATGATTAATCTTGCCTGAAAGATTTCTTAGGAATTTATTCTTTAGTGATTGGTAATATGAAATGCATTTGTGAAGTAGTTGGTTAGAAAATACTAAGTCTGCAATCCTCCCATCTGTAGCTTAAGAAAAAGAAATACCTGTATATCCTTTAATCTCGTCTCTATCAATGTAAAAATTACTAAGGAAAACAAAATTTAGTTCTGAGCCATGGTTATAAATCATATTAAAGTTATAGTGCTTGTATCATTTCCAGTAAAAAAAAATTCAGAAAATATTGAAACTGTCATATTTTGTCATACTATGCACAAAATAATCTAAGTTTATTTTTTATCTGAAATTCACATAGCTTTTTAGTGAAAAGAGAATATTCCTTCAGTTCTGAATGCCTTCACATTAATGGCAGGTAAGAAGAAAGCTTGAGGAATGGGCTATAAAAATATTATAATAAGGTAGCAGTGGGAGCTGAGTTAAAATGCAATACATGCAATACTTAAGGGAAATAAGACTGCAGGAACCTTGTCTGTGTGCACACTGACACTCCTGCTCACAGCACAAACAGCAGGATAAATTCCTCGCCCATTTTTGTTTAATTTAATTCAAATCCTCTATGTCTTTCCACTGACACTACTATTCAAGGCTTATAGTAAATACCCAGAACTACAGTAGAAGAGTACAAGTAATATTAAGGAGAAAATGTTTATGACACTGTGGCTAATGTTCAGCCAAATCACATGTTTTAGCTTTTCATTGCTGTGACCAAAATACCTGACAAGAGCAACTTAGAGGGGGAAATATTTTGGATGACAGTTTCAGAGGTATAGTCCATGGTACACTGGCTCCAAAGCAGAAACATCAGGTGGAAGAGTGTGGTAAAGGGTGGGGTGGAAGAAAGTTGTTCAACTCATGGCAGCTGGAAACAGAGAGAGGGAGGAAGGGGCTGGGAAGAAGATACATTCTTCCAGGGTATGCCCCAGTGAACTACATCCTCTAATTAGGTCCCATCTCCAGTTGTCCATGCATCCATCAGGGGATTAATCCACTAAAGAGGTCCAGCCCTCATGATTTAATCAATTTCTAAAAAAAAGCACCTCATGATTTAATCAATTTCTAAAAGCACCACCTCTGAATATATGAGACTTTGGAGGACATTCTACATCCATACCATAACACACTCCTTCATATTTATCCAAATGAAGTTGGACATGTTAGAGATACATGCACATCCATGTTTATTTTAGCACAACTCACAATAGTACATTATGAAACCAAATGAGGTGTCTATCAATGGAAGAATGGAATAAAGAAAATATGGTACACAATATGGTACACAATCGAAGAATGAAATTATGACATTTGAAGGAAAATGGATGGAACCCAATTTTGAACAAAATAAGTCAGACTCAGAAGAATGTTGCATGTTTTCTTTCAGAAGTAGAAGCTAGAAGGAAAAATTAACAAAATGAAAGATTCCATGAAATTAGAAGGAAGATCATTAGGATAGAGAAAAGAGATCAGGAAGAAGGCAATGAGGAGCATGGCGGAAGCATCAGGGAGTGAAATCAATCAAATTATGTTTTTATGTATGTACAAATATGCTACATTGAAACCCCACAGTTATGTAAAATTAATATGCACTAATTAAAGAGTAAAAAAATAAATACACAATATCACACACTAATGATTCTCAGCCATGCCATATTATTAGAATTATCCATAAAGTTTTTAGAACTCTAGATTCCCAACTCTACCCCCAAAGGTTCCAGTTTATCACCTCTGAGGTAGAAGTCAAGCCTCTTTATTTTAAAAACAACTCAATAGGTTATTTTGATGTACAGCTAGGGTAGGGAAATACTTTTCTAGACACGTGAATGGAAACAACTGAATATTTGGAGTGGAAATACATTTATAGCATAAACCAGTCAGAACACAGTCAAACAATTATTCCATAGTAAGAAAATGTTTGTATTGTCTGAAATTCTTATCTGGCATGGTTCAGAAGTATTTCCTAAATTTATTGATAAAGAATCTCAACTATTTTATAGTCCTGCCTCCCCAAAGTCACTAACAAACCAAACCAAAAGCTTAACTGTTTGTGATAGGCAAAGGATGCTATGAGTCTTGGGAAGTGTGGAATCTACAGGCACATCTTCATCATAGTAAATAGCCATCATTGTTAAGCAGCACACTAAATGCATGCTAACATTAGCTCATGTTGGCCTCACATAACCCTATAATTGTTCTTATCCACACTTTACAGGTGAACCGGATTAATAATAATAATAATAATAATAATAATAATAATAATCTCTTAAGTCCATCCAGCAATTGTGCAACATAGCTTCTGTTTTCCAGTAAGAATGATTAATTACAGTGACCACAGTTAGAATTTGTTCAGGTTTATTTGCTAATTTTACAATGTAACTTCTACGAATTTTATAGTTTATTATTTTATAGTGTGATGTTTATTTTGAAACTGGGTATGAAAATGAGTCATAGACACAGTTGATGAGTAGAATTTTTTTTATCTTGGATCCTATTAAATAGTCTTATGGGATGGGTTAGAACTTTAAAGAAGCTTTAATTTGATTAGAAATGTTAATAAACCAACTCTTAAGATGTTTTCAGATGATTTTGAAATTGAATAAACTAAAACTTCTCTGAAGTCATAATTACCTATGAACATTTTGAACTAAAAAATTCCCAATCGTATTGAAGCCAGTGAGTCAAGTTTCCATTTTGTATCCAAAAGCATTTTACTGACACATTTCCCCAGGCAATTTTTTGATAGATAATTGACTCAAGATGCTAAATAAATTATTTGTAATAATATATTTATTATTTAAATATGTTTGACAATGAACAAGCATATTATCAGACCAAAGTAACTTCTACTTAATGTTATTTGATGTTTCAACTCAGAGTAGAGGTTCCATGAAAGCAAGGATCTTGTGTAAATCATTTATGTTTGAATTTCCAGTGCTTTTCCCAGAGTGGGTACCCAAGTTGAATTTGTTGAATTTAAACATGCTCTGTTTCTGAAAGTCAATACAATAAGATTTTAGAATCTGGTCTCTTCCTGGATTTTGGGGAAAATACCAAACTTTTCCACCTTCAGATTCTTTTATTCAATAAATAGAAACAGTACCTTGTTAACTAGGTTGTAAAAGAATTAATTTTTTAGATCCATATAATGTATTTTAAACAGTGACAACTTACATTAACTGTTGAATAAATATTAATAAACATTAACTGTATTCCTTGTTATTGCAGTAGGAATACCTTTTCTTTCCTGTTTTATCTCTTCTCTGTTCATTGTTTCTGAAGATCAAATGCTGGAGAACAATGCTCCCTCTGACAAATAGCTTATAAAACTTGGAACCAAGTAGCACTGCTAAAGATTTCACTAATGAATAGATTCTAGAGTTTGCATTCCTTCCCATGTTTATGACTTTATTGATTAATGAGAATTGAGAACTAAAGTAAATATCTACCATTAGGAGAAGAGGGAACATTCTCACCAGGAGAATAACTTGGATGTTGAATCACCCCCTTGGGCTGTCTATACTAATTTCACTGGATTCACAGCTTTCTGCTTTATATGTGTGAATATATTCCAGGTGTTCTCAGTAATTATATGCTATGTATTTTGTTCCCAAGATTTCAAATCTGAGGATGATATGATTAGAAGACATTGCACAAGAAATTTCTCTAATGTTTTGGTGGAAATTTTATGTTATAAAATACACTATTGCAATCACCTGCAAATATCAAGCTGCCAGTTGCCTAAGAACTGCAATGTGTGCATGTGGTAGGCCGCTGAATGAATGACTAAAGCTCACAAATGTAATTGATCAAGGAGAATATTTATTGCAGAAGTGCTGAGCTTTCTACAATAAATGTACCTCTGAAAGGTTGTATGCAAATCGAACAACTTCACATTGAATAATATAAAAGGCATTGGGAAAGCTTATTACTTAAATGAATTCCCTTGTGACTTTTCCAATCTAAGAATTCTTTTTGTAGTATAATATATTAATCTTTTTGTTTAAAAATCAAGTTTTATATATTCAGATTTTTTAAAAATTGAAGTATACCTGCACTAGAGGAAAAAAAGAATAACTGATTCAGGGCTACTATACCTGTTTTTTCTACATGGAGCATTCAAACTATTGTGTAAGAATTGAATATGGAAGTTTTGGGATATTGATTCTCTCAGACTCATGGATTCTCACATCCTGGAGAGTCCAGTGGCCTGGGTCATCTAGTTGAAAGCAGACTTATCTGTTTATGCTTATGTATCCCAGTGCTCAAAACAAATATTTTCTATTTGAATAGATTGTGAAACCAACTTCCTCTAGTAGCATTTTCTCTATCTTAAAAGCTTTCCCTATTTTCCATTGCTAATCTTTCTTTTCACCCCATTGTTTTCCTTAAACCATTTATCAAAATTTATGATTACATATCACTTATACATTTTCTTGTTTAACATCCATCTCCCTCACTAAGGTGTAAGCATCCATGATATCATTTTTGCTCAGCACCGTCTTTTCAATGCCTAGCACATAGCAAGTACTTAATAAATATTGGCTGAGGGAATAAATGAATGAGAAAATTAATAAATGCATGGGAATTAGCCAGTTCCCATTTACCCAGAGTCCTTTGGAAATAGTCCAAACTGACCTAGTCTTGAGCTTTCCCTCCAACCTTCTTAAACTTTCCATTTGCTTCAACTCCACTGGCTTCTTGTTGACGTTTAGACACATCAGTCCTTCTCCTGGGCTTGCTGTTCCTCTGGCTGGAGTGTTCTTCCTCATACTAGTATGGCATCGTTCTTCCCATTATTCAGATCTGTACATAAATACACCTTCTCTGAGAGGCTTTCCTGGACTCCGTATCTAAAATATCAGATCCCAATCACACCCCTTAGAGGTTTTTTCTTTTTCTTTTTCTTTTTTTTTTTTTGTCACTATAGCACCCATAATGTATCTATTTAACTATTTACCTATAATATCTGTAATGTATCTATTTAACTATTTATTGACTGTCTTAACTCCTAAATAGGTCCAAGAGGTCAGGGACATTGTCTGCCCTCCAACAGTATGAATGAAAACCATGTGAGACACAGAGAAAATATTGAATAGAGAATATAGACAGAGAAATGTGTTCATTCTTTTCCTTTTGCTTATATTGTTATTAACATTAGTATTATCCCCAGCAATTGCTTTTGCCAATAAAATCTTAGTTTGATTTAACCTTAATATAATTTTACCAAGTACTTTAATCATATTATCTGGATTTTTATGATTTGTGTATTTAAAATGGCATTGTTCTATAACATCACAGAATTTATCTTCAATGACCTAAAACATACGAGGAGTTTGGAATCATGTTTTCATCACTCAGAGCCCAACACGGAAGACCTGTTTGTTGAGTTTTCCCATACTAACTCACTTTTGTTCCAGCAATGCCAATATCATTTCTGTAATATAAGGAAAAATATTATGAGTCTGTGTTTCTCACAATTTGAATATGTTCTATACTTCATTTAATTTTATCACATCTTTCTTAAAGTTATATTTGATGTAAAAATGAATATTAAGTAAAAATATGTATTTTCCTTTAAATGTTTTATGAGACCCTAATATTCCAAAGTACAAAAACAAATAAATTTTGAAAAGCAAATACCATGAAATTTAATTGTTTTTGATGACATAGACAATCAGTACTTTTAATTAAGATGTTTTCATTTATGGCTTATACTAGAATTATTTGTGAAAATGTTTCCTTGCCTTCTTAGGTATTTGACTATGATTTTGGACTACAGGATGACTTTATGGGCTCAGCTTTTCTGGATCTCACACAATTGGATTTAAACAGGTAACTTTTAACTATTTCAATATCACTCTGCCTTGTGCAGCTGGACCTGTGAAATAGAAAATGCCAGCCAATCTATGTTCTGGGTGCTGTTCTGTCATCTACAGCTATGAGCCTTCAGGCTAACAACCCTTTCTCAAGTGTCCCTTTCTCACCTCCCCAGCGGGTATAATTGCCTCATTCAACGACTATTCAACAAAAAAATTCCTGGACACCTGTTCTGACTGTAGTACTATGCTAAGCACGAGAATCTAGAGCCAAAAGACATACTCTTCAGTCTCACAGTGCTTATACGGTTGTAGTGAGATGAAGAAGATTATAAATGTTGATCCTAATAGAAAATAAAATGTGTACTTTGCTTCAAAAGCAGCAACTCTCATCACCTGAACCTGATTTTGCCATCACTGATTACAATCACCAGGTTGCTTTCACTAGGTTACTAAGAAGTACTCCTAAAATGGAGACAGATTGATTATATTTATTCAGTTACATTATCATTTTTGACTAATTATAAAGTTACATTATTATTACTAATATTAATCATTCCATGCCCCTAAAACAATGGGCATCGTAGTTTTCAAAATGAATTTCAGCATAGAAACTAAGAATTGATTATATCATAGAAGGAAAAAAAACAAATTTAAAACAGTGCTGAAATGGGTTTCAAAGGAGCTGTTGAAATCTTCTTTGAAGTTTATAAGGAGAAGGAATTCCTGTTTTGAATGATCACGTGACATCCTGTGATAGGGACAGTGGAAAGCAGAGATGCAGATTCATGGGCCAGATCATTTTCTTATCCTATAAATGTAGATGAGTAGAGAAACATATGTGAGAAATCCCACTTGTGTATTATAGTGAGCAAGGTTTGAACACAGGGATAGCTTATTGGTCTTCCAATGGTCATTTTTATCTCAGACAGGTAAAAAGAACAGCCTTTACTGTATTTCTGACATGTTCTCCATCCCAACCTAAAGGCTAAGCACTGGCTTGACATAAGGATAGAACTTAAGTAACTACTGGCTTTGCACAGTAGGATGCATGCTCAGTGGTCATATATGTGGTCCATGATGATGAACACAGCTTAAACTAGTATGGACTGTGCTGTTCCTTTACAAAGACTGCAATTATTTTCTCTGTTGACCTCTGCAAAAGGATATGAAAATTACTAGAAACTTAATCCCAAAGCATACATTTCTCTTGTTCTCTATTAAAGATAAATCATTGGTGAGAAATAATTTTAAATAGGAAAATATAAGATAATTAAGAAAATTAAGAGATTATATATAAGCATCTGATGTGGATTTTGATACATTACTTACTTTATGTAATTAATAATTTATGTAGTTAATAATTCTCTTCCCTTAAAACCATGTACACATCAAATTACCACTTTATAAACTCATATAATTTAGTATACCACTTCAATTTTTGTATAAATTAGTGGAATTTGGGTATAGAAAAATGGATTATAATAATAGGCACATAGGTAATTATGCTACTATATTATGTTTTAGTGTATCTTTTTGAAGAAAAATAATAAGCATCATAAAGCAATTGCAAATGTTCTGAAATCTTTATCATGTAATCATAAAACATAATAAAAATTTCTGTTAATTGTTATATGTACTCATTATAGGAGAAGGAATAAAATCAAATTGTTATACTATATATACTTATATAGTATACATATATATTTACACATATATACTAATGCTTAATAGATTTTTTCTAAATAAAAAAACAAATTGTTACTATAAAACCATAATGATTAGTTATAGATAAGTTAGTATTGGAGCAATTTGCATCACAACTACTATAACATATGTATAGTATTATTCTGACAGGCTGTTTATGGTTCAGTTAAAATCTCTGACACCAAAAAATTGTTCACGTTTTTCATACTATCATTCTTTGACTTAATATTAAGGATCATGTGAAAATGCCTAGTATTATAATCTTGGCATTGACAATTAGCTGTGGTTTTCACTCCTGATTGTATGAGAAAGTTATCTGGGGAGTTTCGTAAGTATATCAATTTTCAAGTCCCATCTCTGATACATAAAACCAGAATCCTCAAGAGTAGAATTCAGGAATATTCACTTTTTAAAAGCTTCCTAGTTGATTCTGATATGTAGCCAGAATTGAACATTCTTACTTGGACCAGCCTTCCACAATAAGCCCTCTCCCCAGCACTAGAATTCTGCACCAAAAATTAAGCTCCATGAAGACACTGAGCTAATCTTGGTTTTTGACCACTGGTTTTTACCCAGAAACTAGCAGTGTGTGTCATTTAATGTGTTTAACGTGCACTTTGTGAACAAAATGCACACTGAATGACTCAACAAGCAAGGATACATTCCATGCTGGCCTACATTTCAAGATTCTTTTGTTCCAAGATCTTTTTGTTCCGTACTGTTTCACAGAAACTTAGGTTTATGGTAGGCACTAAACGCTATATGTTCAACATTGATTGAAATGTGCAACAAGATGTTACCTATGCATTGTCAGCAACCTTTTAGAACCCCACGAAGGGCAGAAATTTATCCAATGAATTCAAGTCTATCAATTGATTTCAGTTATTGGATAAGTTAATACATTGGTAATATTCTAATGATAGCAAATATTGTACCAAGAAGTAAATGAAGACAACAATTGCTTTTCTTTTAATAATAATAAATTATTGCTACAATATTTTTGTCTTATTTATTTAGTGACTATTCAAAAATTCTAAATATTTTATATCACAGGTCCACAGATGTGACCCTAACTCTGAAAGATCCCCACTATCCTGACCATGATCTTGGAATCATTTTACTCTCAGTCATCCTTACCCCTAAAGAAGGAGAATCCAGGGATGTGGTAAGTTCCCCCACCCCCTAGTACGAGCTCTTTCCTTGCTCTCACTTGTTCGAATGATGTAAGCCTTCTTTGGATCCAGAGGTAATAATAAAGAGAAGCTGCATATGAAAATCTGGCCTGTTCTTTGTTTCTGTGAGTATCGGGGGATTGCTAGTCCATGCTTATTGTGTCTTTTTAACTCAAATTTCCTGTCCCATGCTCCAGATCAGAACCTCTTGTTGTAAATAAGGAACAGATTTGCATCATTTTTTATAATTTTATTTCTCAATTTCACATGTGTTACATTGTAGACAAATATTAGTGTTTATTCGGGGAATACATTTACAAGTGAATTGAATATTTGGGATTCCACACTGAGGTATCCAGACCCTGCTATTTTGAGAATATTGTCAGGTGTATCATAACAAAGAAAATGAGGTGAAATTATAACAGAGTTTCTGCTTTCTGGTATTTGTTGACTGAATGATAAGTGAGTACTTTCCATCTTCTCTATGGGCTTCCATATCGATATGACTCATTTTTCAGCTCTAGCTGTCTGTACTTCCTTGCACACCATGCTGCTATGAGAAACTAACAAGGAATGCAGAGGAGCCAATTACTCCCACACTGTTGAAGTAACATGAAACAATATCAGGTTTGACCCACATCAGTATGCTTGCCAGTGCACTTTCTGCCACCACTTACCAGAGATTATTTATTAGATCAAATGTGCATTTATGTACCTGGGAACTACTCTGCTTGTAACACATTTTTGTAGTAGACATAATTTTTTAGGTGAGTTCAAATACTCCATTTCATAAATATGGCTGTCTTAAAATAATGCACTATTAAAATTAATAATATGGTCTGCTGAAAAAGTATTATTGACATTTTTATCAAGTCTGTAGGTAAAAACAGTGAATTTCAACCTCAAATTAAGAATTGTTTTAAATTCATTGAAAAATTCACCTCTTCAATAATTACTTCTTTCAATTCTTCTTTAAAAGTTAAACAATGAGCTCATAAATTCCTATAGGTATGTAATATTTTGCTAAAAATAGGTTAAATGTCTATAGTCACCAAGGATATTTTTTGTTTGCTTTTACAACAAGTATTACTAAATATCACCTATTGTAAGAACTTAGGTTTGTATGTGTGCAGATGCACTCATGTGCAGATGGAAGGGTAGGTTAGGAACATTCAGAAATAGAAGCCCATGATCTTAGAAGTAACCAGTTGGAAAACATTATTTCACCCAGCACAAGTCAGTAAGTACATCCTAGCTGGCTAAATCCACATATAGAAATAAATTATAAATGTTTACTTTGTGCTTTATTTGAATAATCCTGCTATTCACCAAGAACCTACTGTAAGTCAATTGTATGCTAGATGCTGAGGATACAGTAGATCTTGGGTTCAGTGGAAAACTCAGGACTCAAATAATCACAGAAGGAAATGTAAAATGACCACCTGTTAAGTGCCACAAAGGAGGTACATGTTTCTGAAAGACCAACAAGGAAATTTTGTTCCAGTCAGGTGTATAGGGATTCTCTAAGGAAGATAAATGGAAACTGAAGTATGAAGTGTGAATAGTATTTAATAAGGTTTTTTAAAAAACATAAGAAGTATTTCAAGCAAAGGAAACAACATATGCAAAGACTCTGTGGCTAGAGAAACCAGTCTATATTACAAGAATTGAAAAATCACTGAAGCATGCAGGAAGGAGAACCTTAAAAACCATGGTCAGTCATGGTGCATAATGACACTGGAGGGGAGGGAGAAGCCCCAATTGTGGAAAGCCCATTGGTCATGTTAAGGTTTGTGGTCTTTTCCCAAAGAGTAATTAGGAGCCATCAAAAGTTCTGGATAAAGGAAATGACACAATCAAATTTTCCTGTTGAAAATATCTTTGTACTTGCATTGTAGAAAACAGATCAAAAGGGTAAGAATGGATGCTTGTAGACCAATGAGGAGGCTATTGCAAAAATCCAGGTAAAAGATGACAGAGGCTTACATTAGAACTGTCAGAGGCAGAGATAGAAGGAAATTGGCAAGTTTACCGGTAGGAGATAAAAATCAACAAACTTGATGACAGTATATTTCTGCATTGGGGTTCTTTGTTATGTTAATGAAGGACAGACAGCACTTCACAAACAAAAGTAGTGAGGTGCCTGAGGTTCTGTGTATCCCTAAACCATCCAAATTTGCAATATTATTGAATATTGGAAAAATACAGCAGCTATAATGCTTATTTGCGTGATTTGATGATGGATAGTCTACTCAATTTTTACATCAAAGGTATCTTTATTAAATATTCTAACATCAAATTGAGAGTTTGAGTTATCAAATTGGTAGGGGAAAAATCTTACGGTGAAGCTACTACTGAATTTACTTAAATCACATAGATATATGTGTCAAAATAGGAAAAACAGTTCTCAACATTATTTTCTTTTTAACAATCCTTGCAAAAACACTTCAATCTCTATAGATACTCAAACTTATCTTTATCTTATTCTAATTAGAATAAAATCATTTAAAACCATTAGAGCACTCAGGAGCTTCTTATCAGTGAGCTTTCAAACATGAATACAGAAGAAAACAGGTGGGTTATATTAAACAGTTGTATATCAAAAGCCTGGTTTTATTTACCTTATTTTCTTCTTTTTTTCCATTCTCCTTCTTATCTCTCTCCAGCCACATCCTTAACACAAAGTTGTCCTCCTAAGAGCCCTGTGCCATTTTCTTGACTAAATCCCATTGACTACCCCAGATGTTTTTGAAAGAAATCCTTTACTGACAGATATTTTTCATTCACTGCCCCACTTCATGTCCTCCCCCTTCAGAGTCTCAAAGAGCAATGGATTTATTCTGCTGTGTGAACTGGGAAATGGTGTCTTCTTCCCTCCCGTGCCAATACTGATTCTCCTCTGGCTTCTTTCTTTCTCATCAGAGAAGCAAGTGACTTAGCCAGGACTCAGCAATGGTTGCAATCCATACCAGAGCCAGCTTCTGGCTGGGGCCATACTCACTGCCCAGCCTGACCTCAGTCACACCTCAGGAGGCAAGGAGAAAGATGACCAGTGAGGCTATCCTGGCTCCCCCTCATGGGTTTAATCCATAGATAGGGCAGGGTCTTGTCTGCAGAGAAGCAAGCTGCGACAGGAAAGGGGAAGAAGGATAAAAGATCCTCACATAAAATTCTGCTAAGATTCAATATCCTAGCTAGTCTAATATCCTAGATTTGAATCTGGGTTTCTAAGTGTTTGCTATCCATACATTATGAAAATTTCCAACAAATACATATAAATTTGTTCTGTTGTCATTGTTTTTTGTTTATTTGGTCTAAGTAGAAGTTCTACAGCCACTTTTTTAAATGCTCTCAAACTAGTTATTACATCCATCAACACTAGTTATTAAGTTTTAAAACTCTGCACAAGGACCCCATATGTGTAGGCATCTATTGAAAAATAAACTATAACCCAATACTATTCCATCATAAGAAAGGATGAAAATCTATTGTTTGTAGCAGTATGGATGGAACTGGAGGCCATATGTTGATTAAAATAAGCCAGACACGGGGCTGGGGTTGTAGCTCAGGGGTAGAGCACTTGCCTAGCACAGGTGAGGCACTGGGTTTGATCCTCAGCACCACAAAAAAAACAAATAAAGAAAATAAAGGTATTGTGTCCATCTACAAATAAAAAATGTATTTAAAAAAATAAGCCAGACACAAATAAGATAAATACAGCATGATTTCACTCTTATATAGGACCTAAAAAAGTTGATATCAAAGAAATTGAGAGAAGAACGGTGGTTGCCAGAGGATGAGACAAAGCAGGAGAGAGAGATGGAGAAAGGTTAATCAGTGGGTACTTAGTTACAGTTCAATAGGAGCAGGACGTTCTGGTGTGCTCTTACATAGAGGGGTGACAATAGATTACAATAATCTACTAAATATTTTTTAAAAGATGCAAGAAAGAATTTTGATTATTTTAGCTATCAAGAAATGGCAAGTGTTTGAAGAGATAGGTAAGCTTATCCTGATCTGAACATTAAACATTTGTGTGTATGTGTTTAGAAATATCTCATGAGACCTATAAGTATGACAACTTTTAAGTGTCGATTCAAAAAACAAAACAAAAGGGAAAAAATCCAGTTATGTGCCAGATTCTGGAATTCCCCCTCCTCCTCCTGCTAATTGTTCAATGACCTGTGACTGCTTCTCTAATTAAACTGAAATTCCTGATCAACTTTAAGGCTTTCTGACAAACAGCATAACTTCTGCACTTGTAACTTGTGTCTGAGCCACACAAACTTCTTCAATGTCACTTGTCCTTCCTAAAATATGCCTACACTTCAACTCACCTCTATCTTCTGTCCTATCATCTTGGGGAGGGGATATATATATATATATATATATATATATATATATATATATAAAATTATTATATATAATGCTTCTTATGATAACTTCTATCAAATTTTATCAAGCTTTCTGTACCTAGAAGTTGTTCATTGGGTTGCAGATGTATCTCTACAAGAATCAAAGGGATACTTCAAAGGACCAGGGGATAGTATTTAAAGTATTTTTATCTTGTTTCAATATACACACCCTTCAGTTTGTCACAAATTATATTAAATTATGATTCAGTAGTTATTTAATTTTCTCTTGTAAGTTCTTAAAATCGTTAACACATTAAATGATAATCTGATTAAAATCAAGCTATATGGCTCTTCCCAAGAGAAAAGAAATGATTAGAAATGATGACAATGAATTGTAAATACATCACTGTTTTTTCTTCATTTTGTAATATGTCTAGTATTAGCTATTTTATGTTTTTCTGGGATAAGTTTGAAATTTCTTGATTAAAGACAATCAGAGATCCAATTTGTCTTCAAATTAAATTATCTTATGCCTTAAATATATAATGTACTGCTTCGATGAAAAAGGCATATTGAACTTGTACAAATTATCCATGAACAAATCTTATTTAGAGAAATTCAATTTCAAAATGCACCAAATCAGAAATCAGAATGCTTCACAATGGCATTTAATATGAATGATATACAGAGAAGAAATACAGGATGAGTTTGCATTGACCCTCATATAGCAAAATTATAAGAAGAGTTCTGTTCTCTTAGATTATTAGCTCAGAAATTATTTTAGGCTTTTGGAACTGAATAGTTCAATTCAAAAAACACATATTGGGATTGGGGTTGTAGCTCAGTGCTCATCTACCACATGTGAGGCACTGGATTCAATCCTCAGCACCACATTAAAATAAATAAATAAAATAAAGGTATTGTGTCCACCTACAACAACAAAAAAAAACTTTTTTAAAACTAAAAATCATAGTAATAACAAACTACATGTTCATTTTTATGCCTGTGTTTACAAAACTCTGGTATTTATACATATTAAAATGGAAAAATGGAAGATATGAGTTTAAGACCCTTTAAATCCTATCAAATAAGAAATACCATTAACATTAGGAAAATGCTATTAAAATTAGAAAGAGAGTAACTAGAAATATAGAGTAGTCAGTAATACAAAGTGCTAAGATTTCTAAATCAGTTATCTTGTGAGTTTTTTATGCACTGTTAAATACTGACAATAGGTTCCATGAATAATGCAGTTGGGATGATTTCTTGTGTGGATTGCTATACTTCTGGAAATCAGTAAAATTAAAGAATGAATTAAAAAACCTATCAGCCTACTGAGTCTACCAAAGCCTTGACAACTTGCAATGTCTAATTTCAGCAATTTGAGAAGTATGATATGAGTAATAGCAAATGTATTATATAGTTGCCAGTATTAAAATTTTCTCCATTGACTTCTTTTTATAAAAAATCCCAGATGTGAAACACACATACACACACACACACACACACTTTTTTTTTAAAAGTCTCCAGCATTGTGTGTACAAGAACCCAAAACCTTCATGGGGGGCATGCTGATGTGTTGCATGGCACAACTGTCATTTCTGTTTTGATTGCATGTTCTGTTTTCGAACCTACAAGGGTATGCAGTTCATATATGTGTGTCCTATATATGGTATTTCTGTCTGATAGTGTGTTTGAGTTCTTTCTGGCTCTTTTTCTAGCAGAGTTCAATCCACAGCTTTCTTCATTGGAGAATTTGTGAAATAAAAGTGAGTTAATTTGTGTTACACACTCTCTTAGATAATGGAGGCATACAAATTGCTTGGCTAAGGCTAAAAAGTTAGAAAATTCAAAGAAACATATGGATTGGTCCTAGCTGACCTTTAATGAATTTTAAAAACATATTTTTACTTTAGTTTAATTTTTTATTTTTCAGAATTATTATCTAGCCAAAATTTGGACTACCTGCAAAATAATTAAATATGTTTTATAAAATGCTTAGACTAATAATTCTATAATTTTGTTTGTATGTTAGCTTTATAATTGCCTAAAAAATATCACCACTACAGAAGATGATAATGGAAAATGAATTGAGATTTGTAATCTTTTAAAAATAGTCATTTCTGCAGCTCTATCAATAGCTATTTTATGCTACTTATTTCTTTTATTTGTTTCAAGGAAGGTTGAGCTGCTAATAATTATTAAGTTTAATTTTAGATACTGACACTTTCGAAAACAAATTCATATGTTTCTCAGCTGAACCTAAGATCACAGAGCAAAAAAAATTTATTTTTCTAGAATTTGCTTCATCTCTTATCTTTAACATTCCCTGATCTTTCTTCTCTAACAGATGCCCCAGATAGCAAAGATAACAGCTTTAATAGTATTCTATTAAATTAATTTCCTTCTTAACATTTCTATTGTTTTTATTTTCATTGAATCTACCTTAATCCAACTTTCTAAAAAGAAAAGGGAACCTGGGAACTTAATCTATTACTTAGCTGGTAGGCTTGACAAAAGTGGCAGAAATTTTGTTATAAAATCTGGAGCCATTGTGAGAATCACTTGACTCTAATAATGTAACTTTAGATACTGAATCAGGAAAATGAATGGTCCTCATAACTGTCAAATCTTTTGTATTTCAACTCAAGGAACTAATTGAATTTTTTTCTTGTATCAGTTTTCCAATTCTGAAAATTAAAGTCACACAACCTGTTCATAAAACCCATTTTGAGAGATAGGAAAAAACACCATCCTCATATTTTCTTTTACATGTAGAAATTAGTCACATGCAGTACTCTGACTCAGAGGAGGTAACTTTGCCCAGCAGTATTGAATCAAGTGTTGCAGTGAGATTCCATTCTTCCAATATCCCAAACACTTTTTTCATAGCATAGCACTTCTTACAGAATGGAATTGCATAAGATTCTTAGGTGCTAGATGATGGTGGTTAAATAATCATGAGTGATGGGGTTTTATTCTCACTTGATTTGATTTAAAACATTGTCTCTAGAAATTATCATGCAGTCCATTGAAACTGTGCTTTCTGAGAAAGTTGAATATTCATTATCTGACTCTTAATTAGACAGTTTTTGTGAATATGGAATACATTAGCGAATTCAGTTTCCAAATGCCTTTTGGTGGTGGAAGATGTGGTGATATTGGGTGTAGTGACGTGGATGACTCACTTAACATCAACAACAAACACCTAGCATAAGTCCAAAGGATATATATATATCCACAACCCCATGATGGAATTTTTTACTTCAAAATGAATCAGACCTTAGTTCTTAGAAAACAAAAATGTCCCTATAATAGTAATTGATAGCACTGTTTTGCAGTTTCCTAGATTCATTTGAAGAATGGATGGGGGAGTATTAGAACCTTAGGAAATCTATTACTCTTCCATGTTTTGGTCAATATCTAACACAGAGTATATGTAGGGAAAAAATGCCCTATAAAGCCATTATCTGCAAACAAAAGGATTTTTTCATTATATTTGATAAATTTATGATTTTCTTATTTTCAATCCTGAAGCCTCTACATGGTTCCAATATCTTGGTGCAGGGCAAGGGTAGCTTTAGTCTTATATTAAAATCTTGCCTTTATTTTTTGTTTTTTGTAGTCCATGAGTGGTTGCTGAAACAGCCCTCCTTTATAGTGAATTCTGCTGAAGGAGATACAGTTCTTAAAAGCACCAGGATGCTTCCTTGTTATACAAATACAATAAGCATTTTCTATAAGCTATAATTCTTGCTTCAAATATTCCCTATTCTCTACTTCATCTGCCTCAAAGATAATGATAAAACTAAGACATGGTAAAGAGGTTAATCAGAAAGGTTAAAAACTTAAGGTTCACTGAGAAGTTTTTAGTAGAAAAGAGAAAATAATTTTGAAAGGCTTTGGGCTTCACAGTTTACTTGATGCAAGAGACCAGTGATCTCAGGCACTCATCACAAATCTCTAGAACTTTGATTAAAACATTTGCCCATGAATACCTCTTATTATGACACAAACCTAAAGCTTGAAGAGTAGGTTTGGGTTGAACATTCAGCAGGAGATGCATGTGTAGCTAGCACAACATGCAGCATTTCCTCAATAGAAAGCATTTTGTAGTCACTGATAACAAAGATAAACCCGATGCAGAGACGATTCTAAGATGTCACCAAAGCCACAGATTTTAATTGTGTTTGAAGAGAAAAATTATTACATATCTAATAAAGCCAAACACACTTCAACTCCCACCACCAAAAGGAACAGTTGTGAATCATGAGATTCAGTGTATATTTTCAAGTTGATAGCTAAGGAATTTCAAGTTTCCACTCTATTTAAATATATTGTCCCATTTCTTCATACAAAGAATAAAGCAAATGAACTCTTACCAGAAAGACTGCTTGAATGTTAAAGGTGCTGCTCTAGCTATGTATATGTGAAAACAATTTTTTTTTGTCTTGTGCAATTGTTGCCGAAAACTGTTTGCTGTTTAAGGAGCTAATAAATGTTATGCTTCCTCTAGAAAACAGTGGCTGCCCTATTCTCTACTAGAGTGAAAAGATAATGAAAATGCTTTATTTCATTTACAGACAATGCTAATGAGGAAGAGTTGGAAAAGATCAAGTAAGGTAATTCTTAGCATGTGATCTTTCAGCTTTTCTTGTTGAGAAGACTATCAGCTGCTTCCCCAAACCCCTCTCATACTTCCTCAAGCTATACCACAGAGTCGCATCACTATTCAATTGTTATTTTTTTTTATCCATAAACTTTAAGCAAATCATGCAATGCTTTCCAAATGAACAGAAATCACACCGATAAGAGCATGTGAATCATTCTCCTATTAAATTCTGATCACTTCTCAGCATCATTCTCAGCATCTGGTCTCTATTAAATGTACAACAGGGTCTAGAAAATCATTTTGCTCCCAGAATGAAATGATGAGGTGAGGGCAAGGACAACTCCAGGTAGAAGGAAGATCTACAAAACTTACTGGTTTTGTTCATGAAAAACTGAGTATGAGATTTTTTTTCTAAACTCAAAAAAATCACTGTATCGTGACTTTGGAGTGTATAATGAAAACAATTTTTCTTCATTGTCTTTCTCACTTCAAGAAATACATGGATCTTGGGAGTGAGGGGAATTTATGGTTCTTGCCAGGTACTAAAAACTCTGGCTCTCTCCTTAAAACTTGTCAGACACATAAGATATATACTGAGCTTTTAATTTATTCAGTGGTGATACCACTTTTGGACATAGATAAATATAAAGATTAAACTGAACTTTTAAATAAATATATCTTCCAACAAGTCAAACAGATTTTATTTATAAAAACTGCACAAATTTCTACTTAAAATGTTAATATTCCTTTTTAAATAATGACTAATTTTTTTAGACCCTGCAACATGACAATCTTTTTTCTTCCATTCTGATTGAATCATCCTACTACTTACATTTTTCTTTAATTTTGTCATTTTTATTTTGTTGTGAATTAAGAAAATACTTTTATTAGTTTTTAATATTTGTGATAATGGATTAATCTGTTTCAACAAGTGTTTCTTAAGGACAATTTCTCTCCAATTCTTATAGCATTGACGAACAAAAGATAAGTCACAAAAAGGTTAGATCCCCAAAAGTGCTTTTTAAGGAAGTTGCTGAGTATTTCTGACTTGGCATTCACTGTGTTGTTATTAAACAAAATAAAGTTTCAAGAAATTTTAAAGAAATGTTTGTACTGTTCACATTTGTTACTTTTTCTTTGTAATTATATTTTAAAATAGTATTATATTAAGAGTATATATACTTTTAAATGCATATAATTTGACTTTTGATATTCTATCTCTCTGATGATACATTTGTATAGAACCCAAAACAATCCATTAATAATATAGTCATATTTCTTCTTCCAGATGAATTTAACATGTAATCCTGGAAAAGAGTTTGACCTAGTATTTAGTATCAACTAGTGGGAATGATTCTGTTTGATTTTAATATAAAAAAGAATAGAAACATGGGGCTGGGGTTGTAGCTCAGTGGCAGAGTGTTTGCCTAGAACTTGTGAGGCACTGGGTTTGATCCTTAACACCTCATAAGTATTAAAAAAAATAAAATAAAGGAATTTTGTTAATTTACAACTACAAAAAAATTTAAAAAAATAGAAACATTCTTTTTAAAAATACATTAATTTTGTGTTTAAATTTAACCTTCAGGAAAAATTCACATATTTTCTTTCAATCTACAAGAAGATTTAAAATGTATAGTAAACATCTACTTACCATTATTTTTATATCTAAACTTGGAGTTTTTATTGTTAATAACCCATTTGTACTTTCAAAATGGTATGTTTTTCAAGCTTGCCACTGAACATACAGATTCCCTGTGTCTAACCCAACACTCATTTGAGTATTTGGCAGTTTATATTTAGTACCTGTGTTAATATTACTTTGGGGGTTAGTCTAAAGGATTTTCAATTTGGTAAAATTTAATGGGGATATTGAATGCTGAATGAGTTAAAATCAGTTTGCTCATTTCATTTTCTTTTTCTATGAGACCACAAGGAACACTTGCTAACTCACTCATTCAACTTTTCACTGTGCCCTGAAACATTTGCCATATGTATCATAATGTTGTAATTAAAAATTCAGGCAAAATTTGACATTCAACTACTACCTCTACTTCCTCGTTTACCATCCTTCACACAGACTACCAACTTGGAACTGCTCCCTGAGTCCTGCAGTGAAACTGAGGGAAAAGTGACTAGACTGAAGTTTTATAAATGTTATTGTCACTTTTTATAGAAATGGACCTCTTCTCTAATTATTTCAACATTCCCCTTGAAGAGTCTCATCTTAGAATTTTTTTCTCTTTTTAGTTTTGGAATGTTTTTTCATTACATTTAAATACAGGTATTTATACTTGATACAACTGTTCAAAATCAAAGGTGAATTTTTCATTAAACTTAAATCATGTTCTTCTTTGGAATCCTGATTTACAGGAATGAGGTATCCTGTATTTTGATGCAGGACTTTGAAATATAGCCTGACTTTGAGCATCATTGAAGGATATAAAATCTGAGAATTAGAGATTTTGTAGCAAAGACTTAAATTCAGCCAGGAAGAGTTGCTTCAGATTCCCTGTAGCATTTTGACTGGGTACTTTCAGAAAAGCATAACTATAGAGGGAGAAAGCTAATTTGATGTTACTTTTAATATGCAACTCTTAGAATTTCCCATTACTTACATGTCTTCTTGTCATTTTCATCATCCTGAGTTTGGGTGATGAGATTTCTTTTTGCATTTTATTTATCTCACTTCTGCCAATAATATATTATTTTAATGGAAATTTTATTATTTGTGGCATTCACATAATGGGGTTTGTATTTACTATTGAAATCATTGGAGGAGTAGCCAGCTTAAGAAGTGAGAAATTATAACTGCTGTTCAGGACTAACTTATTTGGAGTAAATGTGTTATCACCTAAAAACAAGTGATGGGGGGAAGCTCCTACACCTCTGAAGAGCAAGAATATGTGAAATATGTGCTGTATTTGAATGTTATGCAAATCAGAAAACAGTTATGAATTCCATAAGGTCTCCTCCTCTGGGAAAGGTAGCATCCTTTGAAACAGTCTGGTTTTCCCCAGGTACACTTTCCATCATGCACATTTTAAATTGTGCCTCACACTCAACTGTAACAGAAGAATGTTATTTTAAGAATAAAGGAATCAATTTATCCCTAAACTTGGGCAACTAGATAATTATCCTGGTCAAAGAGTTACACTCATGTGACAAACTGCATTTTGGCAGATAAATGCAATATTTTATTCTTTAGAAGAAGCTTACCATTGATAATTTATTCTAAGGTTAAATTATTCATCAAGAAAGTTGCATGAGCTCAAAAGAGAAGATTTACGTGTATTTTGTGAATAAATTTTGTAAGATCAAGCCAAAATGGAAAAAAATAATGAAATAATTGTCTCTATCAGACAGCAAGCAGTTACGATTTTATACCATGTATGTATGTCTGTGTTTCAATTCAGAAGAATGAATGTGTCCATGGATTCGGGTGCTATAATAATTTATGTATTTCAACAAATTGCTTAAATTATCTGAGAAATACTATAGTGATAATATAAAGATATACATGTTCCACTCATGACCTTAGTAATAGTTTATAATTTTCTTTAAGAAAAAGTTCATCCTCTGAAAAATATAATAAAGACTACTATGATGATCTCATTACCATATCTACTGCTACTTAATGGCTTCTTTCTTTTTTTTCAATAGATCTTTTTTATAACGACTTTATTATAATCACTTAGCATAACAAATGAACTATAAAACACTTTGTGCATTGGTTGAATGAAGCAATCTTTAACAAGACTTTTCAGCAAATATATATACTTTAATTTGAGCTAGAGACCACTCAACTTTAAGTTGCAGGGTGTAGTTAAACTTGATATCTTGAGTGACTCATTAGTAATGCAGTGGAAATTCATAAATGCTTTAATTTAAGTGAGGGGAAAAAACAGATTAACACATAACTATCTCACACAGTCAGTCAGACTGCCGCAGTCTGGCTGGGCACAAAATCACGAGCCACTCAAGCAGGAACAAAGTTTATTTTTTGAAACTGCTGCCAATGTCCGGTACCGCCCGGGAAGATTTTTTCCACCCACGCCACATCCTCCCGGACCCAGAGAGAGCTCCTCCCCCGGAACTCCCTCCTACTGTACTTCCCCAACCAATGGGAACTCTCCAGGAGTCCCTTAGCCGGCCTAGGTGAACAGCAGGAGTCCAATATCCATATGAATGCAAATCTTAACATAATCATATCATCTCAATGGCTAGCTGGCGTCACCTTTCGACCAAAAATGCCATGCATCATATACTTGGCTCTTAGCATCAGACATACTGGGGGAAAAAGATATCAATTAACAATTACCAGGTTCTTCCTATAAAGAGTTCAGATCCTGACAAAGAGGTGATTTTTTGAAAATCTGCAAAAAATTAACAATTTATTGGTAACATACCTTCTCAACCAGGAGTGACCAAAATGGTTTTCTTTGGTGCATCATTTCAAATTATTATGCATATATCTTTGAAAATGATATATGGTTATTTGTTTTTGAGGGAAGCATATCATTTTATTTAAAATTTTTTGCTTTGCCATTATTTTTACTTTTAAATCTGTGTTATTTGGAAATACTGTAAATTCATTCTCTAATTAAGATGCCTGAGAATCCAATCAACAAATGGTGAACAGCAATGAGCAATTATGATGAAGGAGAATATTTTGACTCTAGTTAACCAAACTCCTGAAATTTGTAGTATGTTTATTTAGAACAAGTATTATTGTAATCCCAGTAAACATTTGATTATCCTACAAAATACATGGAGCCATAATTAAATTTTATGTTGTGATGACTTTTTTTTTTTGCTGTTTTGACAATACTTCCCCAGAGGCATAAAATTACATTTTTAAGTATTATGATTCATAACTACAGGGATTTGCTATAATGATGCCATTATATTTATTTGACCACTCCTGTTGAATTTTTAAAATATTGTGGGTCCAAAATGAGTTGGCACAAAGTGAAAGGACAAAATATAATCTCAAGCAGAGGATGGATTCTACCACAACTGTGATCTAGGTCTATCTTGGTGTTCAATGTGGGATTGCAGAAGAGGTGTTACATCATAGGCATGTAACCAAGTTTCCCAGGATCATTCTTCCCAGGCTGATAAAAGGGGGAGAACTAATGTAACTGGGCTCCAGATAATGGAACTAAGAGCAAGTTCTCAGATTTACATGGCCTTTTAATTTAAGAAGACAGATGATTGATAGATTAAGTTGAATTCAACTAGGAGGAGATTTATGAATTTTAATGTACTTTGAATCCCAGTGAAAACAATTCATAATTTTGTTAGGAGCCTGCTACCAAAACCTTGGCCCACGTAACTGTTGATAGAGCTTAGTTGATATCACAAGCCATTCCTATTGATAGGATGGAAGCATCCAGCAGCCATGGTTTTGATGAACAGTGATTCCAGTCTGACCAGGAAAGTTTATGTAAATGATTTACTCAGATACTTACTTATTTTTTAATCTCTTGAATGCCAAATGATTTTTTTAAATTTATTTTTTAGCTATATGTGGACACAATATACTTGTTTCATTTTTATGTGGTGCTGAGGATCAAACCCAGTCCCTCATGTGTGCTAGGCAAGCACTCTACTATTGAGCCACAGTCCCAGCCTGCCAAATGATTTTTATCAAAAGGAATTGTGCTCATATAAAAGCACACTCATATAAGCAGGAAGGCTTGCTGACTAGATTCTTATACTTGAATTCCAAGGTTTATAGTTTCAAATCTATTATGATTGTCTTGAATTTTGAAGAATGAGTGACTTACAGTACTATGTGATATGTTTAAAGGCCTGTACACATTAAGGCTAATTTGATTCTGCAATAACTTTCCTATGTGCATTTATGAAAATACTCCAGTGACTCTCACCATCATGAATATCCACAAGAAATTAATTTTTTTAAAAAAAACTATGGATAAATGGCAGAAAGAACAATAGAAGAAAGAGAGCAAGGAATAGGGAGAAGGAAGGGGAAGGAGAAGTACTGGGGACTGAATTACAACTAGATACATTCTATTTTTTTATTTTTTAAATTTTTTAAATGAAGGGTCTCACTAAATTGATGAGGCTGGCCTCAAACTTGCCTTCCTCCTGAAGGATCCTCCAAAGTAGCTGGGATTACAGGTGTGTGCCACCTTGCCTGGCCAAAGTATCACTTTTAACATAACTTTATTGACTAATCCTTATTCTATCTAATACATATTCTGAAGAGATTTCTGTGATTTATTTTTATGTACAACTGGATAATAGTATCATATTAATTTGTTAGGGTTGGGGAAACTATCCTTTAGTTTAATTTCCTTGAGAGTAAAAATGTTATTTTTTAGATTTATAAATTCAAAATATAGTTAATTTTTAGATTATGGAGGAAAAAAATAGATCTAAATAAGATACTACCAGTGGATCTTATTCTTCTAATAAATTAAAAACCTCAGTACAAGCACTCTAACAATTCATTATTTGGAATATTTTCAGTAATTTTCCTTGATCAATTTGCTATCTATATTTTTGTTCTCTTTTGATGTCACTTTATAATTTTAGAACTTTTTAAATGGCAATTTTCCTCACTTATTTGTTTCTTGTCTTGATAAAGATGGAAGTGTAACTGAATATGTATCCTTGCAGTTTAGCCCAAGTCTTTTCTGGAATTCATGAATGGTTTGTGCAGTTTTCCTTGCTCTCTATGTTTAAGTCAGCACTTTTGTTTAGGGTGCATTATCATAATGCCAGGTGTTTTGTTGTCATTATCATTAGAAACTAGTAAAAGGAGAGCCATGGTTGGTCTGTTGAAAATTTCATACCCATGCAGAGCAAACATGGTGCCAGAAGCCACAAGAAAAAAAAGAATCATAATTGTCCATCAACAACTAAAAAAAAATCTTTAAAAATATCCTTAAACAATTTTACTTTTTATGATAAGACTCAAAGATATATTAATAAAAAATTAATAATAAAAAGGTAAGTGGACTTGCTTCAAACTACAGAAACAATCCTCTCAACTTTATTACCACTGATGTCAGAGATGAATAGGATAAAAACTTTGATTTATTCACAAGAGAAGGAAACTTGGTTTCTACTATCCAATGGATTTCCAGGATATATAGATTTTGTTTTTAAATTTTATTTGATTTTATTTGTTTTGATTTGAATACTAATTAAATATTCTAAAAAAACAACATTTGGCTAAATATTTGTTTGTTTTTAGGAACTCTCAGAAAATGAAGTGGTTGGATCTTATTTCTCTGTGAAGTCTTTCTTTTGGAGGGTAATGTCTAAATCCTTTATATTAACATTCTTGATTTTTGTTCTACTTAGAAATTTTGAAACTTGAGTGTGAATTAAGAAATTCACTTTTTAAAATAGGCTCCCAGACAGGTGTATTCACTTGCCTTCTTTATTAAATTTTATTCTAAGTCCTCTAGATAGCTAACTCTTTTATTTCTTCATTTGAAAAAAAAAAAACATTAAGAACTTCATATATTTGAAAACTTATATCTTTGAAGTTAGTTCCTTGTGAGACAAAGGCTATTCCAAAGAGCTGGAACCCCAGAGACCTTCCACCTTGGAGATTATTTTCTGCTTCATTTCTATTAAAAAAAAATGTACTTGTGTTACATTGATCTTATATAACATATACACTTGATCTGTACAAGACAATCAGTGCCCTTTCTTTGAGGAAAAAAATAAAACCTCTGTGATTTAGAAAAACATTAACTCTGATTTTGATTAAAACAAAAAAAGGTGAAATTTCTACCAAATTAATTTTAAATGCCATTGCAATTTAAGTTACTCTTCAATTATTAAAGTCTTATGAGCTTTGTCATCCATTTTTTTCTCTGCTATTATTTCTGCATCATATGCAGCATGATTTACTATTAATACACTTAATTTAACTTTGCCTTTAAGAGTGTCTCTCTTTCTTTGAAAATTCACACTTGGTACATGATTATATAGCAATAGTCACTACCATGGAAATGCTATAATCTTAGGGCTTTGCTATTTTCCTTTCTTGGCTCTCAAACTGCTCATGATTGAAAATAACCTTTTTCCTTAGAATTTTAAGATATGGTGCAGTGTTTCTTAAGCAGTCTGTCAGGTTCCAGATTAAGCTATGTACTGATCATTGAGCAAATATAAATCAAGTCTTCTCATCCCTGCCTGCTTTAACACTTTTTTGCACTTTTATTACTGCAAGACTATTTCAGTGATTATAGCCTCTTCATTTGCTTTCAGTTCACTGCCTTTGCTGAAGGTATTCTATACATATGCTGAAATAATCACAGTTCATCTTACGAGTTCATGCAATGTCCATGATCACACAAGCTGTTTTTGAATCATTCTATGACCTGAAATGGAAAATGGCTTTTTGCAAACATTTTTCACTATCTATTAAGTTCCACAAATGTGGTGTGAATTCACATGGAACACTTATTTGAGAGCAGGATTTGAGGGTGTTCTGTGTTCTGTTTGTTCTCTATGCAGCAAACATGCAGACTGGCAATTAGTGTAGATTTGCCACCAGTATCAACTCTGTAATTAATACTTTTTCAAGTCTCCCTTTCAAGTGACTCTTTCAACATCTTCTTCCTACTTTGCTGTTTCTAAATTAGTCTTCCATTTATCAGTGCTTTCCATTTGATTATATTCATCCTTAAATATTAATAACCTTCTCAATTGCTTAAACTGTGTAATTTAAGAATAACAAATATACAGGTTTAAACGATAGCTGTTTTGTGTCCAAGGTATAGCAATAATGCTTTTTCATGGGAAAGCAACAACAAATGAGTGACAAATGAATCTAGTCACAGACAGAATATGTGGGGGTCATTTATTTTACCAGTGAGGAAACAAAGGCCCAGAGAAATGATATCAGTATCATCAAGTACTCAGATGGTGTGATCAGAACCAATATTTTTCTGTGAATGCCACAGAAATAAATGTTTTTGAAGAACTCACAGCAGAAGCATTCCTCTCTTGAGTTGATGAATAGAATTCATGAGTAGGGAGAGCAGCTCCTCTGTTGAGGAGTTGCTGCGTTCGATGTCCCATTTACAAAATCAGAAAATTATTGGCCACAGCTGGATGAGTGTTATCTCACATATTCACATAAAAAGCCCACTCTGAAAACTTACCTTGTGGCTTTTTACCCAAGCAATATTGGTATTCTGATGAGCTTTTAATGGGAATGTATATGAAAGGAGGTTTCCTAGGAACACTTTCAGATATGCTCAGAAAAAAAAATCTTGCATGAAGAGTGTAGGTGTGTTATGTAAGTTAAATGAGATGTGATTTGAAAGAAAGTTTTATCTGCTTAATTTATAAGTATAAATACATGTGTTCAAGAGATGGCAAATGAGTTATATGGAGTGAAACTAAATCCTAGCAATAAGTCACTTAGCTGGAATGTCAGGGCTACTTGCTACATCTTAATTTTCTTGAGAATAAATTGTATCACTGATATGATACAGACATATTCTAATTTTTAAAAGCATAACAGTTTAATTCATCAAAATATCGTGTCTTAGAACACAAAATATTAAATTGTGGATATAACAATTACCATGTTTCTCATGAAACAATAAAAATTATGTGAAATCAAATCGGATTATTCTAAGTTAGAAGTTCATTAATTTAACTTCTCATTAAGGAGAATAACTTAGAATAGTTCTTTCAAATATTTAGCATGCTTATGTTTCTTACTATTTTCCTCCACCTAACAAACATCTAGACACTGATCACAGAGTTAATTGCATGAATCATCATACAAGAACAATGAATTAAAGAGAAATGTTAACATTTTTTAAATGGAAGCAGCTGGGATATTTCAAAATAAACTCACCTAAAAATGGAGAAGAGGATTATGCCAGGCAAAGAAGATTATATACAAAAATACAGAACAATGGGAGTTATGTCAGAGCATCAGAGCATATCTTAAGGTCAATCAGAAGTGTTGTTGGAGGAAGACTACAGACTAAGGAGAAGACTTGTCAACTTTGTAAAACAAAAAAGTGATCCTGAGATCCTGAGCTATGCTGAACAACTCAATAATCTATGAAATACCTCCCCAAATGGTCTGATAGTATTTCCATTTTTAGACATGAAAATAAGAGTCTCAAAACTATTTGCAGCTGGGCATGATGTTGTACACCTGTTATCCCAGCTGCTCTGGAGACTCAAGCAGAAGGATTGCAAGTTTGGCCAGTCTGGGCAACTTAGCAAGACCTTGTCTCTAAATAAAATAATTTAAAAGGTGAAAGTGTAGCTCAGTGGTAGAGCACTTGCCTAGCATGCTTAAGACCCTGGATGATACATATATATTTTTTTAAAAATTAAATTAAAATATATATTTTTTAATTAAATGTTTCCAAAGAAAATGTCTCTGTACTCAAACCAAAGACTATTATTCCTTTCCCTGCATCATTGGTAGAAATTTGCAGATTATTTTAACAAGCCAAGAAAATTACAATATATATGATGCTATTCTATAAGTATATACTTTGAAGGATACAAGAAATGTTTAAGAAATTTTGTTGATCCACAATTGAAGTTAGAGAGGGTAGTTAGAACACCTCAGGTAAACATAAAGAATTTCCTAGCACCACAAATTGTATAAAGAAGCAATAAAAAATACAACAGAAAATGAGAGGATAAAAATCAAGAGAACTTCTCTGAGGATTACAATGCCAGAGAGTCATCTTCTAAGAAGAAAGGGATTGAAGCTTTATTGTCAGCAGAGACGCTTGGCTTTCGTGGCACAAAACACTGGGAGGGCTTCTGCAGAGGCAATCCTGCTTGGAGAGGATGGAGGACTGCAGAACAAATCTAGTTGTTGGACTTCATCATCCAGGTGCAATTCACTGGAGTGAACTCTGCAGGAAAAGGAAAGGATAGGACATGCCCATGCCTGGGATTGAGCCAATAATTGCTCCACACTCTAGTTTCTGCAGCACAAAACAGTCATTCTTGGCTGTCATTATCTCTTTTTTGTAGTGGTGTGTGGATCATTTGATTAAATAAAAGCTTGTGCCATCTCTGTGCTAAAAATAGAGAAAAGAGCTGACTCCACACATGCCTTATTGTAAACACACTTTTACTCCAGTTTCAGTGTCTGGGTCTCATTTGGAAGGATTAGTCTTTACACAGGTAATACAATCCAGGATAACAAAAGCCAAGGATCGTTTACAGTATCAGGGAGAGGATTGGTATAACTGTGCTCCCCTAGTCACATGTGGAGTCTAAATAGATTTGGTTTAGGTCTTGATTTATTTTTAAATAAAAATTTAGACAAATAGGATATATCCTATTATTAGTGGTCCAGTTTTTCAAGGAATGAAACTAGTAAACTTAAATAATAAGAGTGGGAATACAGAGGTGTTGTCAAGCTATATGCTAGATTGCACAACTTGAGTACAGTCAACTCTCATTTGCTTTACCAAATAACATATGCCAGTTATTTTACTTCTTTTAAGTCCCCATTTAGTTTTTCTCAACAATTTATAATCAGACTATATTTAATCTAAATGAAAGACAAAAGCAATCTGAAAAACCTGTGCTGATTAATTATTTTTTCTTTCTTTTTTGTATCATAAACTTCACAGATTATGTCCAAAAAATGAGGTATAGTGGGGGAAATCATAGGTTAGTTGTCAGTAACTCCACAATCAAATCTCAATCTTGCTATCCTCTAGACATTTGGCTTTGAGAAGGACATTTATCTTCTCTATGCCTCTGTTTCTTTTTCTTAAAAAAAAAAAAAGAATGTTTGTCATGAAAAACACTGGAGAATGAAAACTTCAGCATATAATAGCTGCTCAATAAATGTTTCTGTGTGACATAACCTATATTTCAGATGTCCTATCCAGTCCTCCCTGCTGATGTCATCAAAGCTATTGCTTCCCATTTCTTCATAATAATACTCAGAAACTCTATAGCTGCTTTAGAAGTCCTTAATGCAAACTTTCAACTCCATCATGATACCTTCCCTCCAGAATTTCCTGTTAAGCTTTATCTTTCTTAATCCATCTCTTACTGCTCTTGGTTTTAGTAGGGAAGGGATCTTTTTGTTGCTTTTCTTAAAATGATAACCAAGGCAGCAAGAAGATGTCTTACATGAGACAAAATTCCTATTACTTTGCAGATATTTCTTTGATCATTACAAAAGATTTTCATGTGGGATGCAAGGTTAACATGATCATAGATAGTTATTACTTATCTATGTAACATTTATTCTTCTTTAGACCTATCATTATTTTGACATTGGGAAAAATTATTCTTTCTATGATTTCTCTGATGGTGTTTATTTTCTATAATGATTCTATTAACAAAATCCTGAAACCACTTCAGCAGGATCTATCACCATATAATCTTCGGGCTATATTTTATTTAAAAAGTAGCTGTAACTATAAAGATGTCCTGGTGTTTATCTTCATGATGCTACAAGACATTTTCTGATAGTGACTTGAGAAGCAAGTACATACTTTTCAAATAATATTTTAAAGTAATTCTAAATCCTCATCAAAATGAGGGGTTAGAGTGGTGCAAAGATTTCCCATACAGCTCTGACCATTCATTTCCATCCAGACATGTAGCAGGCCTGCTCTTACTGTCCTGGGCTTCTGCAGAGCAGAACTTCAGAGTCCTTATTTCCAAAATGCACAAGTAAGTTCAACTGTTCAGTTCATTTATTTTTTCTGAGCTTGCATGAGCTGTGAATTATAAGGACTGACTTGTACTTAAAACTACTCCCTATTCTAACCTAGTTTTGTATAATTTCTTTTATGTATATTTAGATATATATAGTGAATTTACATATATAAAAGAAATTATAATCTTGAATTATTTTTCAAGAAATAATATAAGTGAACTAATAGTCTTTCTTAAGTACCAGCTAACCAGTTCTATAATTTTACTAAAGATCCATGTTATTGACTAATTGCTTCATGCTTTTAAATTTGTATTATTACCTGATATCTTGATATTCTTTATTAATTCCGAACTTAGATGGGTGTTTCTTATGAGAGTGGATCTCAGTCTTTGGTGTGTGTGAAAATCACATGGGGCACATGTTGAAATGAAGATTAGACTCTCCCCCACAAGAACTGAATCACATCCAGGAATCAGACCCAGTAATTTCAATACATGCACTGCTAAAATATAGGAACTACTACCTTAAAAGTTCAAAGTTGGTATGTTTCTGTGTGTGTGTGTGTGTGTGTGTGTGTGTGTGTGTGTTGCTGGAGATTAAACCCAGTGCCTTGCACATGCTAGGCAAGCACTGTACTACTGAGCCTCATCCCCAGTCCAAACGGTTTCTTTCGCAGGCTTGGTTCTTTAGAAATTTAGAAACATGTCTAAAGAAGGACCTTAAATAGATTAATATTATCCATACCAGAGAGTGAATAATGTTTACAATTATATAGGAATTGCTAGAATAATGTGAGTGAAAAACTGGTCCCTTAGTATTGCAAGGGTGGGGTGGTGGGATTGGTTCCAACTCTCCTACCCACAGTGGATATCAAAATCTCCAGATGTTCAAATTCCTTACATAAAATGATGTCATATTTGTATAAACCTATGAACATCCTCCTATATGTAAATAATCTCTAGATTACTTATAGTGCCTAACACAATGTAAATTCTCTGTAAATGGTTGTTATTCAGTATTGTTTAGGGAATGATGAGGAAGAAAAGTGTCTGTACGTTTTTAGTAAACATGCAATTTTTCTTCCTATTTATTTCAAATCCATGTTTAGTTGAATCCACAGATGCAGAAAATCCATGGATGTGGTAGACCAACTGTATTTAAGTGTATGCCTTTTCTACTATTGATAGCCTAAGTTTATGTCTTTACTTTAAAATTTTATTTCAAATTTTCTATCTTTTATGCTTAAACTAAATACTTACCTGTTTAATGACCATGCATTTACTCATTACTATATGGTTATTTCATAAAATCCACAGCTGAATTATGGAGTTCCTTTCTAGAAATATGCCATTTTGGAAAAAAAAAAGTTACTGAAAAAAAAATCACTTTTAAAAAATATTCAATTACCATATTTTTGGAACTCTTTTTTTTCTTCTTCCTCTTTTTTTTTTTTTTTTTAGCCCTTTGCAGAGGTCATCTCAATTCCCACATTCATTAGCCTTGCTTTTATGAGGGAACACTCCTTCTTCCTGCCTGTTTTCCAAGTTTGGGGGAAATATCCATCCAGATTACAGAAAAGACTACCATAATGACTGATGGAAGTAGTCAAAGACTCCATTAAGCTCCTTTTTTTTTTTTTCTGTGAAAGCATGAAAGATCTCATGGAAAGCACCTACCTGTTCCCTCCTTACCCTGTTTATATTTGAATGTTAAAAGAAAAAGGCGGGGTGGGGGGGTGTGTGGAGACAGGGTAAACAAGTAAGTGTGGTCCTATTAAGAAAACCAATTTAGGGGCTGGGGATGTAAAAATTAAAAAATTCTCTCTCTCTCTCTCTCTCTCTCTCTCTCTCTCTCTCTCTCTCTCTCTCCCCCTCTCTCTTTAAAAAAAAAAAAAAAAGAAAACCAATTTAGCATTACTAATTGAAGCTGATATGTAACCTAGATTGTACCTGGCTGCATGCCTTGTATAACTTCTTCTGGAAAAATATATAGAAGATGGTACTAAGTGCCTTCTTCAATAAATTGAAATATTATAAATAAAAATACATGTGCTTATATGGTAGAAAAGTAGAAGGTGCCTTCATGAATTAGCCATGTAGGAAAATCTGTTCTAGAATGTTATTTCAAAATCAACCCACCTAACTGGGGAATACCACTTGGCAACATTATATTTAAATTAGGGCTACCTTTACCCAGTGCAGTCATGCATTCCTGTAATCTCAGCTACTTGGGAGGCTGAGGCAGGAGGATCACAAGTATAAAGGCAGCTTCAGCAACTTAATGGGGCCCTAAGCAACTTAACAAGTCCCTGTATCAAAATATAATAGATAGGGCTAAGGATGTAGCTCAGTGGTAAAGTGTTGAGTTCAATCCCTATTACCAAAAATAAATAAATAAGTGTTACTTATGGCAGCATTCAAGCCTATGAGAGAACCTCTACCCTAAACACCTGTGTTGGGTGAATAAAGGCCATAAATACTGGGGTTCTGGTCACATGTTTACCATCTATTAGCTCAACTACTCTGAACAGCAAATTCCACATCTAAAAAAACGGGCAGAAGCCTCACCTTCCTCTTCCTGGAGATTTAGTGAAAGCCAAATGTATAATGAACATATAACTGCTTCTAAATTCTAAAGCTCTATTATTAATTATTTTGGTCTTTGCTAAGATAACTATTTCTTTTTATTTACCATATTTGTTTTCCTTTTTTCCTCCTATGCCACTCATATTCCTTAATAAATGTTTCTGATCCAGAGTTTAAAACCTGCATTTCTAAGATATGCTGTTAGAGGCCATCTGAATATCAGCAGAGGTAGTTACATCAATAAATCAATCATCAATCAGTCAATCAATCACCAAAACCTACTGCTGTATTATATAGTAATAAATAGCATGAAATCTTAGAATGAAAACAACAACAACAAGAATAATAACTTGGGGGACTGGGATGTGGCTCAAGTGGTAGCACACTCGCCTAACATGCATGAGGCACTGGGTTTGATTCTCAGCACCACATAAAAACAAAATAAAGATATTGTGTCCACCTAAAACTAAAAAATAAATAAATAAAAAAGAATAATAACTTGGCATCACTTGGTACAACAAATTCTGAACAATTTTAATTGAGAACTTCTGTTTTAATCTGAGAAGTCTTTTGTTCAAACAAAAGCCAATGTGCAAACCCAATACCTATATATAGAATGAATAGGAGCAGAGGGAACTCTAACTGAAATGGGCAGAGATCTGTGGAACTTTCTGGGGCTCCATGAACCTCCATTGCCCTTCAGAACACTCTTGAGGCATGTTGATTTTAATAAGACAGAAATGACCAACATTTAAAATTTGCTATTCAAAAAGACAGGAAAATATACAATGTGATTTAGAAAGGTTTCCATTGAAAAGTTCAAGGATTAGAACTACTGTCTTTTGAAAAACATCGATTTCGTTTTCCTAGTAAAAGCACCTGAAGTGCACAACTTTTAAGGATGACATGTAAGAATGACTGGCATTGCTGTATGGTATGAGAAATGAAGAAGTCAGCATGGCAGGAAGAGTTATATAAAAGAGGCTGTAATTTCCTACATTAATGTAGAAGGGACTAGATAGCAAATAGAGCTCATCTGTAATTTAGAAGTTGCAGTACTGTAAGAGTCAGAGGGATGTTGAATTTCTTTATGAAATAACTACCTGGGAAAAACATGATTGATGATTAGAAGGAAACAATATTTTTTATAATACTGCTTGTTGCTGAATCTAGATTTAAAAATGTTTTGGTGTTTAAATACTTTCTCCATTTTTTTTCATATGCTATTTAGGTAAATGATATTATATGGTCATTTGTAGTATACTTGCTAATTTTAAAAAATTCTAATTTTGCTCACTGGCTTGAATATTATGATTTGGAATTGAGTATAATAAAAAATTCTAAAGAAAATGTTCAAATACTGGAGTGAGAAATGAATACAAAATATACTCACCAATATAAATCATGTCTGTAATTTAAAAAATGAATGTTTGTGATGCAAATTTCAGACATAAGTAAAATATCTTGAGTGGGTATACTGATTTTGTTTTGTGTTCTGTATTACCTTAAATAGTTCTCTATTGAGCTGAAACTCAGTTCTCTCCTAATGTGGCAAGAAAGTATTTAAATTATCCAAATAGAATTGTAACTGATCTTATAACTGAAAACTACCCATAAAATCCATTTATAACATGAAAAATCTCATCAAAACCCATAAATAATTAAAAATTAAATATCACAGTGTAGATATGGTCTTTGATATTTATATTTATTTTAAACATCTTTTAACAGGCATATTTGACATGAATGCAAGTATTCTCTGATATTCTTAAACTATCTACATCTTCTAATTTTAAGAGATGAAAAGCTAGACTGTCTTTATTTGAGCACTAACCTCTTCTACACAACAAATTTGTCATGATACAATTTATTAACAAATTTATAACTAATAAATAATTAATACTCCATTTTTTTATTTTTTAAAAATGTAGCTGCTTAGTTTTTATTTTTTGAAAAACTGTGTCAGGGAAAGTTTAAGACCAAATGAAATACTTGAGTTTAAAACAAAATAACCTAACTCACATTTCTTTGTGAAAGTTTCAGACCCAAAGTTTACGTCTGTCAGACCAGCACAGAAAATCCCACCTATGGAGAGGGATAGTCAGCATCACCTTGATTGAGGGGCGAGACCTCAAAGCGATGGATTCCAATGGGTTGAGTGACCCTTATGTGAAATTCCGGCTTGGGCATCAGAAGTACAAGAGCAAGGTAGCTCTCTATTTTCTCTGTTCTGTTCCTATCAATGTTGAGAAGGCATTGGCTGGTAACAGCCATGCTTTAGGAAATGAAAATGCTGGGTATACTTTGAAATGCTTAAGAGAACTTTTGAATATCATGTCAGAAAAACAAAACCAACAATTCTGTTGCATTTCTTACTTTATGTGCTAAGTGACCTTGGGTAAATTGCTTAATTCTCTATGTCTCAATTTCTTCATCTATAACAGGAATGATGGTGGGAAGTCTCTCATAGCATACCTATGAGGATTTACAAGAAAAAAAAGGAACAATAGCCCAGACAGAACATAGTTGATGCTGGCATATAAAGTGCCTAGAGAATATTGGCTCTTAATATTATTTTACATGCCATAAATCTTTGTGAATTACTCTGAGTCATTTTATCCAACCTTACTTACACCAATGTAGATCACAAGGCTCTAAATTTATCTAAGAAGTAAATGAGCCTGTAATCCCAGTGGCTCAAGAGACTGAGACAGGAGGACTGCAGGTTCAAAGCCAGCCTCAGCAACAGCAAGGTGCTAAGCAACTCAGTGAGACCTGTCTCTAAATAAAATACAAAATAGGGCTGGGGATGTGGCTCAGTGGTTTAGTGTCTCTGAGTTCAATCCTCAGTACACTCCCCCGAAAAAAGAGAAATAAATGACCACATTCCTACTGCCACTATCAATGCTGTATCATAGCACATAGCACAAGTTACATAGTCTCTCCATGCCTCAGTTTTCCCATCTGTAACAATTAAAATAAGGACTAGAATTAAAATAAGGCCTAGTAAAAAAAGTTATTGAGAAGATTAAATGAATATATGTTTTTCATGTAAAGGGCTTTGAGTTCTCCCTCACACATTATAAATAATCAGTAAATGGGGAAAGCAAAAGGAAAAAGAAATATAACAGTAGGAGGAGGAAGTGTATTGTATGGTAACAATGATGTTCTTAATAATAATATATTAAATAACCTTAGTTATATATTATGGATGGAAGTAATAGTAATTAGTAAAAGTCATAGCATCCAAAACTGTATTTTGAGCACATCTTATTTGCATTATATCCAATTTTAACCTCTTTACTGGTCAGTTTGGACAGCTGATATTCATAGATAGCTTGGGACCAGTGATTATTTCCATCCTGAAATAAAGATCATAGGCCATTTTGAGGAGAATTCCTTTGCCTTGATGTCATCATTTTCAGGGATTTTTTTAAAAATTTTTTATTTGTTTTAATTAGTTACACATGACAGTACAATGACCTTGACATATCATACATTTGAATCAGATGGGATATAATTTCTCATTTTTCTGAGTATACAGGTTGCAGAATCATATTGGTCATATAGTCACATATATACTTTTTTTTAATAAACAGCTTTCCCCTTCTGGGCCAAGAAGTTTTCATGAGAGCTTAAAGTTGTTAGAAATATCATAGTGCTGGTTTGTTAGCAGGCAGTGAGCACCACTAGCAAGCAGGTTACCTTACGAATGCCCACCTGGAATAGAAATGAATCATTTCTGACCTGAAGGAAATCATATAAGGAAGACAATCCTAAAGAAGAAAAGTGAAAAGTTAAGTCTATTTATAGCCACACAAGTAAGAATACCACCTCCCTCCCACTACCAGAATACCATAGGAATTCATCAAAGCCCAATGATATTTGAATGATCTTAGCATTCAGTCAGTGCCTTTCAGTAATTTTTTTCTGATATGGAGCTTAATAACAAATTTTAAGGTTGTTCCCTCTACAAAAATAGGTATCTATGCCCACTTGAATCTTACCTTCTCTTAATTAGCATCATTTCTATGTTCTAGTAGGCTTAAAAAATTACTTATTTTTATAGTTTTGCTCTTTAGGTATGAAATATGAAACCCAACTATGGACATGTGTCTTTCTTTGCTCTTTCTGTCCATGATCTATTGCTGATTAAGTTCACATTATGAACTTTTAAAAATTGTGATTCATTTATATTACCTTTGCACATAACATACTTCATAGCTTTCAAACTCTTTATATCTGAAGACCCGCCTGTCATACATCAAAAAGAAAAAGCCATGGCACACCCTCCTGCTAAGAAACAAATATGAGTGTTGTTTAATCTAATGGTGAATGGAATTTTAAATCGTGTCACTGTAGGATAGTTTATTATTGATTCTGCTATATTTCTTATCTGAATACTTGAATTTATAAAAGTGAACTACATGGATCTTTTTGTATATGCAACACGAGAACACACACACACACAAACACACATATATGTACAATGAAGATAATACATCTAATGTAAAAGTTTGCCTGACCACTAAAATCTACTTGCTTTTCTCTTCTGCTCTCATAGAAATTCATTTTCTGTTTTTCATGTACTCTGTTGAAGATTTCAATGTGTGGGGAGTAAGGGGAAAAAGAAAGTCTGAGAATCCTTGTCTTCATTTATAATGGGATAACTATGAATTATGTCTTCATCTAGTAACAATTTATAATTATGTAGAATAACTACTAGTGTCTGAGTGATAGATATGAAAGGTAAATAGTGATCTATTTAGCTTTTCTACATAATTTATATTTCTCATCTGTTATGTAAGAAAATTGAGGGTCACTTTTGATTTTTTCAGGACACATCCTTTGGAATCTGTTCATCAGTAAAGATGCTAGAGATCTAATGACTGATTTCTATTTTTTTCTGGAATCTTTGGTTCAAATAGCACACTTACATAGTTTTCCAGTTGGTACCTAAGTTTGATTTAAGGTCTCAAGTTAAGTTTTTAAAGGCTGATATTAATAAGACAACAATGACCTTTTGGTTTTCCAGATTATGCCAAAAACTTTGAATCCTCAGTGGAGGGAACAATTTGATTTTCATCTTTATGAAGAAAGAGGAGGAATCATTGATATTACTGCATGGGACAAAGATGCTGGGAAAAGGGATGATTTTATTGGCAGGTATGTACAATTTGTTATTTTTGGTTCACCCTAAAGAGGCTGAATTTTGTTGAATTTTAAAAATCTGGATATTGTAAATTATCTTTGTTGTTTTAAAGGAATGTTCTCTCCATTGTAAAGCAATATTTGAAGGGGAAAAAAAAGATTTAAAGACTGACCAGTAGGTGGCAGTTTTGACTAGTCGATGGACACAAGCTTTCCCAATTCAGCATCTAGAAATCTTCTCCAGATGTCACAGATATTGTGCACAGAAGTTATGGGAGTTGAAAAAGAGGAATTTCATCTGATATGAGATACTTAAAGAAACAAAGAGTATATTCATAGTCTTTAAAGTGATCTAACATAGTATTTATTTTCATAATGCATATTGTAACCATAAAATGCATTATTTCCTACAACTGCCTACAAGGGAGAGAATCTTTATAATCTCTTAGGAGTTCATAAATCTCTAAAGAGTTTCCAAGTTTTAGTGAAGGAAACATGTAAGTGAGGCAGGTCCATGTTAATCTGATAATACAGGAAAAAAAAAACAACTATTCAGAGGCTTACATTGACATTTCTTTACAAAGTCAAGATTATTTTGAATGACTACTTGAATCATGAGATTATATAAAATAGTCTAAAACTTGAAAATAGTTTTAGACTATTTTATATTTTTCAATAGTTGTATATGTGTTTTTGAAGCAAAACACTTGAAAACCTGCCCATACTGTAATAAAGCATGGTGTACAGAATTTTTTAGTTTAAAAAAAATCCTTCTTCACTGTAGTTCACATAAAATTCAAGTCTTCAAACTTAATATCTAAAGAAAATTCATACATACTAATGATAAAAGAAATTTTATTCTAAGAAAGTACAACAAGAATCCAGTCCAACACACTTATCTCTTCATTTTTTATGATTCTCATATGCATGTTTTAAGCAATAGCTTTCATCATACAAGAGGTGAAAGATCAACTTAAGTTAACCTTTAATATTTTACTTATAAAATGAAATTGGGACAACACCACTGTAATATAATACAATTCTATATTTCAATCATTTTTAAAGCAAAGTTCTATATTGCAAATTTTCCGATAAGTAAAACACTATTTTTCAGAGTTTTCTGAAAGTTCAGTCTTTTTTTCCTAGCAGTGTACCACTAGCTTAGGTAATGGTGTACATCTGTTAACACATTAAATGTGTTTAATTATAATTTTGTATTTATGATTCTGTCTCCCTCAGTATGCTATGAGTTCTTTCAAGGAGTTGAAATCTCACTATTCCCTGAATGATTCATTCGTTTTCATCGTTTATAGCAACATTATTTATATTTGGTATCAGATAATTAAAGTTGCTTTCATGTATAACCTTCTGCCTTAATCTCATTATTTGATAGTCAAGCTTCCTTATTTTGGCAAAATAATGAAGGCAACTATACTCTAAATTATACTGGCTTCTCATACTTCTGGTGACATATGAAGTTCTTCTTATCCCTTTTTCTACTTTTTTTCATAATGCAAATATACTTATATTTATTTTTTCCTTTGGGAAGAATTTCCAAATTTGGTATGTATGAAATTTCTCGGCTCATTTGATACTTTTCCCCACTTTGTAATATTATGAATTCTTCAAGGGCAGAAGTGGAGGGCAGAGAGGTGGACTTGTTTATTTCACTTCACCTTATTTCTAAGTATCTGTCTACATTTAAGCAGACATTTAGAGAATAGTAATAGATGAGTGGATAGAAGATCTAGAAAACTGAGAATTTTAAGAAAGTTTTGTGAAGTTCAGAGAAAGACAAGTAATTCCAATTTTTAACGTATGCCAAATGTAACTGCCTCTGAAAGCAATTTGAGCTCAAAAGTTTTAGAGCACAGAAACAAGAGCACACATATAGACATAATGGCCATTTTCAAATCTGGAGTGTTGAAGCAACTTTCAGAAGTATTTTAACAGTAAACATTATCCCTTACATTCCCATTTAAACCCATTTAAACTCCCAACAACTGCTCCTGCCAGGGTCACCTCTGAATGACAAGATGTTTAATCCAATGGCCAGTTTTCAACCTTCCTCTTTTCTACCCAGCACCTGTGCTACATTTGGCTGATAAGTTTCCTTGAAACATTTTTACCTGGCTTCCAGGAGGCCTCATTCTCTTCTTTTTCCTCTTCCCTCATTGCATGTTCCTTCCTAGTTTCCCTCACTGATTTTTTTCCTTGTCTCCCTCATGCTGTAGTTCTGGAGAGCCTCAGAGCTCAGGTCTTGGGCATCATTTCTGCCTACCCTTTATCCATTCTGTTGCTTTCCACATGACCTATAGGTTGACAACTAACAATGTGCAGGTCCACTTCAAAACTTTTCTCTCAACTCCAGGTTCCTATACCCAACTCCTTGCTTGATATTGCCATTTGACTGTCCAACAGATTTCTCCAATTTAGCATGTACATAGCTAAATTTCTGGTCCCCAGCCCCTAAACCTGTCTTTTTTCCTATGTTAGTTGTTAACATAAAAAATGTTATAGTCATGTCTTACTCCTTTCTCTCTCACTCTCCTCAAAGCCATCAGCAACTTGCTAACTTTTCCTTCAAAACATATTCGAAATTTACAACTGTTAGCTTTCTGCCACTATCACCTGCCACAAACACCTGAGATAATCAACTTTACAAAGAGAAAAGTTGTTTTGACTGGTTATAGGCCTTCAACACAAAGACTTTTGGAAGACATTCAAGATCCAAACTACAGTAACTACTTTCCATCACCTCTACCATTATGATTCTAGTTGAGGCAACGTTAGCTTTCACATGGACAATAGAAAAAGCCTCTGTTCTTCTTTCCACCCTTCCTATTCCACAACACTCTGTTTCCAATGAAGCATCCAGAGTAATATTTTAAAAACACAAATAAAGTAATTTAACTCCTATGTTCAGAATCCTTTACTTGTTTCCCATCCTAATCTGTGTAAAGCAGAAGTTCTCACAGAGTCCTATGATGCTCCACATAATCTGTTCCTGTTACTCCTCTACTTTGAACATTTCTCCCAATCTGCCTCTCCTGCCCTCTGCTCTCTCCCAGCCGCACTAGACTCTGTGCTGTTCTTTGAGCACACCAGACACTCCCTACCCCATAACTTTCCCTCTGTACCACTCTTACTTCAGATACCTGTCTTCCTTGCCTTTTTACCTTCTTAAGATCTGTGTACAATATCATGTCAAGGAGGCATCCATACCAAGTCTGTTTAAAATCAAAATCCCCTTTCTCCTGCCCTGCTCTGTTTTTCTCCGTAGAAGTAGCCATCATTTGGTATACTGTACATCTCACTTATTTATTTTATCATTTATTTCCCCTCACTAGAATGTAAGCTCCATGAGGGCAGGAATTTTTTAGTTTTTTATTCACTCAATATCTAGATAAAAATCTGGCACATAATAGGAACATAATAATATTTATTATTTCCTGGATTTTAATTTTAAATTCCTGTAGCTTAATTTTATACTGGAAGTTATGACTTCATTCCCCGTCCCCCCAAAAAAATTGATCTGACACTGGGCATGAAAGAAATGGCTATTAAAACAACATAACTTAGTGGAAGATATAAATTTTCAGTTTGATTGTGGAAATATGTGTAGATATAATACAAAAGAGAAGAGTGAATTAAAGTATAAATGTGTCTGAAAAATACTTAAAAATACTGAATTGTTATATTGGGGGTGAACACAACCCATACATTACCAAGATACTTTTATCATAACATTTTTCAATTGATACAAAAATTGTACATATTTGGGGGTACTTCATTATGTTTCAATGTATATATCATTGTTTAATTCAAAGTGAACCTATCTATCTCCTCATTTAGCATTTCTTGGTGGTATAGACCTTCAAAATCCTTCCTTATAGAATTTTTAAAATTATACACTTCATTATCTACAGTCACTCTACTGTACTATAGCACACCAGCACTGCTTGCTGCTAACTAACTATAACATAGCACCTACTGACCAACCTTTCCCTATTCCTCCCACCCTCCTACTCTCACCAGGCTCTGGAAACTACGATTTTTCTCAACTTCTATGAGATCAACTCTTCAGATTCCATAATATTGGAGAGATCATGCACTACTTATCTTTCTGTGCTTGGATTATTTCACCTGGCACAATAACTTCCAATTCCATCCATGTTGTCATAAATGACAGGATTTCATCCATTTTGTGAATGATGTAATTCTGTTGCATAAATGTTCCACATTTATTTGTCCATTCATCATTTCGATGGACACTAAAGTTGCTTCTATTTCTTGGCTATCATGAATAGTGCTATAGTGCACATAAGAATGCAGTTGCCTCTGACATACTGATTTCATTTCTTTTGGGTATAAACCAAGGAGTAAGATTGCTGGATTGTGTGGTTGCTCAATTGTTAATTTTTTGAGGAAGCTCCATATTGTTTTCCATAATGACAGTGGTAATTCACATTCCTACCAGTGGTGCACAAGGATTCCCTATTCTCTACATTCTAACAGCACTCACTATCTTTGATCTTTTTAACAGTAGCCATTCTTGTAGAGGCGAAATGATAACTCATCATGGTTTCGATTTACCTTTCCCTGATGATCAGTGATGTTGAGCATTTTCTCACATACCTGTTAGCCATTTGTATGTCTTATTTTGCTAAATGTCTACATAGTTCTATTTAGGCATATTGCCCATTTGAATTGGATATGATGATGATGACAACAACAACATTATTGAGTTTTTTAGTTTCTTATGTAGTCTGGATATTAACACCTTCTGTTTTGAGTCAACTGTCATATGTATAATGTGACAGAGGTCTGGATTTATCCTTCTGCATGTAGAAATTCAGTTTTCCCAAAATTATTTATTGAAGAGATTGTCTTTTCTCTACTGTGGCACCTTTGTTGAAAATAAGTTAGCTCCAGATGAATCAGTTTATTTTAGGATCTCTATTCTCTTCCATTGGTCTAGGTCTGTTTTTATTTCAATACCATACTGTTTTAAT